TCCCACCTTAGGCTCAGTCTTGATAAAAACGATTTGACTGTTAGTCATCCTTTATTATGTAAGATTCGGGGAATATAGGGCAGATGTGCGGCATCTGCCGGCCCCCTCCTCGCGGACGAAGTCCTTTTCGCGATTCCTTTCCGGCCGGAAGTGGAAATTCGCATTTGACCTACCGGGAAAGGGAATTATCCAGAACCTGTCGATTCCTCATGGAGAAAAGGCTTAAATGTCAGCGCATACTCAATCAGACTGTCTACATCTAAGTGGGCCTGAAGCATGGTCATTTGCCATAATTTTGATTCGGCTATCCTCCTGATCTAATCTACATCATATCATCTATCAAACGTGTTCGATTGTTTCATTATTTGTGAACGGAAAAACAATTCCTATGCCAATTACCAGTGGGTCATAATACACGATCATAATATTATCATGATCTTCCTCCTCTCCATCCCAAATTATTTCGCCTAACAATTCCCTACCATAACTAGCCATCACAACCATTTCTAAGAATATTGAACAGTCTAATCATTCTTAACCAACCTAACCATGCTTAACCATCAATATCCATCCCAAAATAATTCTCCTAACCACCCCTATCCATCCCAAGAGATCCTAACAATCTACAAGATCTCCAATCACCCTTTCTCATTCAAGACCATAACTAAGCATATAATCCTTCATAACCATCTCTAAGAATAACTAAGAATCCACCCTACCCATTCTTAGCCTTCACTAACGAGCCCAAAATAACACTCCTAACCATTTCTAACCACTTTTATCCACACCTAACGATATGTAAGAATCTCCTTTCACTACCTCTCATTCCTAACCATCCCTAACCATTTTTAATTACCCCTCATCATCCCTAACCATTCGAGAATCATTACTAGGAATCTAAAACTACCCCTAACCATTCTCAACCAACCTTAAACGATCCACTAATCATCACTAACCACACGTTAAACTAGTGATATCTGGGTGTTTTACCAACCGCTCAGACACATCGATAAGGATGAGGAGAAGACAAAACGCGTCTGTCTAAAAAACTGGAATGGTGTGCAATCTAAAGTAATCGGAATCGAACAAACTACAGATTCATGATCCAGCAGACCCCTAGAGGAGATCCCACAATTTAAGAACAATGTTGATATCACTAATCGGTCAGATATAACTAATCATATTACTACAAAAGACATGGGTATGTCTTCAAGAACTGGAGATATTTACTGCAGAGTATAATGCTTTTGTTGGAGATAAATTATATTGGAAGAGATTTTTCGATTATAAGATGGTTTGATGTTCGCCCTATGAAAACGGTGGTCCTAGGAGGGTGTTATAATACGATTTAATGCGCCGGTAACGGAAATACAGTCTGTTAGTGGGGCTCAAAGTTCTACAATCGGGTCAATCAGCCCTGAAAAGAAAATCAGATCAATGCACACGGTTTTTCTTGAGGGAGCCCCTAAGCCGGTCCAGGTGAATCGGCAACGTAACATTTTCCACACGACATCTGCCTTGTTCGCAGCGAGGCCAAACGTCCTCATACATCACCCAGGGTAAAGAGGACAACGGGAACACGGATATAAAAGGAAGAAGGAGACGGTGGAGAAAAAAAACTATGAAAAGACAGGTAAGAATCGGTCTGCACGTGCCGCGCAAGGTGTGCGACGAAGAAGAGAAAAGGGCTTCTTTTGTCCCATCCTCCTCGCATCCTAAATCAACCCCCCAGGTAAGGGAGAAAACCGCCCTGTCCATTAAATTTCGGCTAACGACGTCATTGCTTGGGTAAAATACGACGTTCAGCAAGTCCTGAATCATTAACCTCCTTTGTGGTAACGCGATCATTTCCGGTTTCGTCTTTAAACCGGGCAAAAAAAGCTAAAGATTAAAAGACAAAGGACAAAGGTCCTAATTTGATTCAAAATTACTCGTAAGGAGAAAACAAATCAAATTTGATTTATCTCAGTACTTGCAGAGCTTGTAAGCACATAAATAAACAGAAATATTACCTCTTCAGTGGCAATTACCATGAAAATCAAAACATTCTTCAAGTTAACCTATAAAAATTATCCCAAACTTTTACCGTGATATGGCTTAGATTCTGAAATAGCTCAACTCACGCAACAGGCATACAGTGATTGAATCTTCTAAAGTGTTCCAGAATATAAGCCATGACTAGTATGATCTTAGATTCAGATTAAATGTGAAATATCAAAGTCACATCGCCTAGACCCATTTTGCAGAAGAATCACTAAAAGTTGTACATTGAAATTTGGTTGATACCTAACATTTTGGTCTGGCAGACTAGTATTAAGTGCGTGTTGTGTTTTATTGTGTTGTGTGTGTTATTTATCTCGCTTTCTGTCTCTCTCACCCTCTTTCTATCTGTCTCTCTCAAAATTTTGAATTTTGTAATTACACCTTAAATGTAAGAAAGGTCCTAGAGACCCAACTTCTGCGTGTATTTTTAATCAATCAATCTCCCTCTCCTCCTTTCTCTTTCTCTCTTTCTCTCTCTCTCTCTCTCTCTCTCTCTCTCTCTCTCTCTCTCTCTCTCTTTTCTCTTACACTACATTCTTGTCTTTGTGCGTTGTGTTGTGAACATGTACTTGCTGATCGTGGTTTTCTACATTAACAAATATCGAAATACCAAATGAGATCTATTTGAGGCCATCTTTTTATTAAATTAAACTATCGCACAAATTTATAATTATATCGTACAGTATATAAAACGCTAGGATGTAAGCAGGGCGAGGTAAGGAACAGAACACTTCCACTTTTGAAAAATTTTCATGCATCGAACTCAATGGATGTAAACTTTATGTTTGTATTTATTGTCGTGTGATTGTCTGTGCTGTTTGTTTTTGTATAATTTTACGTGCGTATCAATTATTGTTACACCAGCTGATCACGGTTCCTGTTGGAAAACACCAAGAATGAGACATAAATGGCGATCAAGCAATTATTGAGCCAGGGTTATAAGCAGGGTGAGGCACTGACTCTTTAAATTTCTACCGTTTCTTCTTGTACCAAACGCAAATAATGACTTGTTACACCATTACTTCACTCCGGTTGGCCAAAATATTTTGCATAATAGTATATAAATATATTATGTTTATTATGAGTATTTATGTGTGGGTTGGTAAAAATAACATGCTTATTATATGTTTGGGATTAAATTGTGTGTAAAAACTACTGTAGTTCCATGGATTTTTTTATATAGTTTGTATACTGTGAATGTATGAATTTTGTTGTGTGGAACGAGTGTATCTGCTTGTTCAACATCCTCTAAAGGGGATTTTTACATTTTCCTTGAATGCCAAGTGAATCATAAAAGAAGGGAAAAAATGGCAGGTGTCACGTCTTCAAAAGATTTTCCTTTTTGACAAAGCTGGTCGGGGTCTAGCGTCTCCCATTGAGATTACGTCAGGCATATTAAATCTAGCCGATCATCGCCTTGTGGCACGTGACCTCAGCCGGCTAAGACGAGCAAAAAACTTAAAAAAAAAAAAAAGCGGCTTTTCTTGATCCAGGTCACGGGGTTGGAAAGCCGTTAACGAAAATTTATAACTAAATTATTTCAGATTCCCTGGCCCTCGTACTAAATCAACGACGATGATGCACCCTAAGGTGGTCGAGACTGGCCACAATAAAACTTTCATACCCGATCAACTCGGTTAGAAAGAGAACAAAATCGAGGGAACCCCAGCTTCCGAATTGTGCGTGAGGACGTGTAAACCATGAAAATAATTTATTAATGAGGAAGACAAATTTAGTTTTTGAAAAAGTGCAGCAATAAAAACACCATAGAATCGACCCAACATATAACATTACGCTTACCATTCCTACCAAGATCTTTGCAAATAAAAAACAAACTGTTCAAAAGAAGTAAAAAAAATGAAACTTTAAGAAACCTACAGTCAATGACAAACCCAACTCATTTTTTCATGAGAAACGATATTTGTCGTCGTCCCTTCAGAAATATCAATTTCATTATTCCAATCAATTTTCTATCGAAGTTGATCACTTGCAAGGCGGAATATTGGTAAACACATCAACCCTCTCATATTACACATTCACGCTAATAAATATATTCACCTTCAATATACAAAGAGGAAAAGTTAATTGCACCCAAATACTGCTACAATCGATTTATGTGTGAGAGGGCCGATAGGGGAATATTGAGTTCTTCATCAATCATCTCACATTACACATTCACGCTAATAAAAACACTCAATTTCAATAAACACAAAACGAGATAACTATGGATACTATACATACAATAAAACAGCCCTATTTCAAACAAAAAACAAAAGAAAGGACCCAAATACTCGCTGCCATACTCAAGAATGTTTCTCATATCTTTTATTTTCACATGCTCTCTATATGGCCCCAAGGAATGACACCCTTCGATTTAGGTGTGGGAGGGCTGATGGCAAAATGCTGAGTACTCCATCGATCATCTCACAATACACAGTCACGCTAATAAATATATTAAATGTCAATATATAAATAAGGAAACACAAAAGAAAATGTCTGCGCTTTATTCAATAAAACATCCTTATATGTCCTAAAAAATTAAACAATGTGACCCAAATACATACATTTTGCTGAGCTCAAGCACAACTCAAATCAGGTTCCCTCACACTCTCTATATAGAGCCATGGAATGACTTTCAATCATTAATGTGTGAATGTGCAAATAGTGGAATACTGAGTACTTCATCTGTCATCTCACATTCATGCTAATAAATACATCCAATATCAATATACAATTTAAAAAAAAAAAAAAAAATATCTGTCAGTATTATATGCCACAAAACAGTTTTGTTTCTTCCAAAAATTGGAAGAAGGGACCCAAATACTGGATGATATACTCAACGACAATTATTACACCTGGTGGCATTCCTACTTGCTCTCTATATGGAGCCAAGGAATGACACCTCTATTAAGTGGAACACATGAGCAACATTTTTTTGCATGCTGAATGATGAAAATGAAGTTTATCTGTGAATTAACATCTCATCTCTTACAATGCAGAAATTGTACAATATTCCAAGGGAACCGTTTCTACAACAGTCAGCAGTACCCGACAAATCAAATTACTATCTCAGTAATAACTGGTATGTATTATATTTTTGGCATCCTGGAGAATATTATTTTTGTTAATTTTTTATTTATTTTAAAGGACAGAGTGATTATATAGATACGTTGTCTAGCCAACCTGGCACTATGGACATTATGACGGACAGTCTACATGGTAAACAATTTATTAAATTATTTGTATAGTTTAAATATTTGAATAATTAATTTATTTATTTTCAGCACCACTAATCGATGAAAGTCAATGGTCTACTGACATAGACACTGAAAGTAAAACTATCATTTATAGCTGCTGGTTCATAATAATTGTACTTCTATTTTCTATTGTTGGTATTCTGAGTACTCCATAAATAACTATATATTGTGTAAAATTTCTTTTTACACCTAGGATTGGATGGGAATTTGTTGAACTGATAAAAACCATAAAATCATCTAGATTATCCTTGACTATACTCCTAAGGGTGATTTTAGCTCCTAGCATTCTAGCAGCCCTAATCTGTGGCATAGGCCGATATGCATTGGCAATAATTCATAATAGAAAAAAAAATCTCAAGGCTGATCCTGGTGATTTTATGGTTTTTATGAGTTTAACATTTAAACATTTAACTTATGTAAAAAGAAAAGCAAAAAATATGTACATAAAGTGAAAAAATTAATTTAATTTTAAGTAAAAAAAAAAAAAAAATATAATCAATAATATATATATATATACACACACACACAAAGGCATTCACATAAATCTTTTTGAAATAGTGTTTTTAACCATTATTAAAAAAATAAAAATATAAACTTTACAACTATTTTTTAAAACATAAATGGTGTTAATTTAGAAGAAAATTTATTTCACATATTGCTTTATATGGTAGTAATCGCCGAATATTTCATCGAGTGGATCAAATAAATTCACGTTATAAGAATTTCCCGAAGGGTCTGTTTTCTCTTTGCTTTCGACTACATTGTTTTTAACCGGATACCTGCGGATCGCATGTGTATTTTGTTTGGGTGCTGAGTTGTTGAAGGGCTTCAGCTTTCTGAACGTGTTGTTCTCCTCAACTTGAGCCAAACTGTATCCTCCGACAGCCGAAAGGACGACAAGTATCACCCCTTTTACTAACTTTTCAGGTTTCATTTTTCAAAACGTGAGAAAACAATTTCTAAGTGTGGTATTATAAAATCGGTAGGAATCAAACTATCCAAAAACAGACTATAACATTTTCTTCTTTTTTTTTAATTTTATTGCCATCTTTGAGATAATTTTATTACAATGAAAACAGATGATATAAAACCATGTGTATTTTCCTTTTAAAAACTATGTACTCTTTTTTAAATATTTTATTGATTATTGATGTATAAAAGCTGTACATATAAAAGCTTATCACTTCTCACAGTCCACCAGCAATTCTAGCTTTTTGTAATTTACAATAAATTATTGGCAGGCCTCAAGAATCACTCCCAGGTGTTGGCAGTCTGAGGTCAGACCTCTGTCTTATCCATCCACCCGCCAAGGTTGGGCTCCAGAGGCTGCCAACAGCTAGATCATTTCAGCCCTAACACAATCAGTTACTTAAACCAAACCCACTCACTCTTAAATACATAATTTCTTATTTACATATCATTCACTCAATTAAGATGGTGGAGTACTCAGTATTCCTCCATAAATTTTACCCCTATTATATGCCTAACCTAATTGAGGTTCAATCGGTACTTAATATTCCACCATTGGCCCTCCCTCACCTAAATCAAAGGGTGTCATGCCAAGGTTCCATTTAGAGAATATTCCCTCTATCCATTCATACCAATTAATACATTCATTCTCAACCCAAAACCATCAGAATTGTGTGCAATAAAACAACCTGTTTCCTCCAAAGATAGGAATGGGGGCCCTGATATTCATATTAGGTGGTATTCCAGGCTCTTATATAGAGCCAAAGAATTGCATCCTTCAACTAAATGGGACACATCGCGCAACCTTTCTTTACATGACAGACTCATGCGCAGGGTTAGGCCCAATAGTATATGTCAATGTGTCATCCACCGTCATGTAGCCTATTCTTAATCGGGTTAGGAAAACCTTGCTTCTATGAATCAGATAACTATCAACATATGCATTTTGAGGGTCATAATGCTGGATTGCAGTTGTTAAGTCTGGACTCTGGAGGTTAGAATGTCCCAGCTTTAGCTTAAATATTTTCTTTTTGTTTACAAACTAATATCTTTAAAAATAGTATCTATGATTAAAACAAAACTATTGTATTCTCTATTTTATAATTTATGAGGTAAGTTTGAAAATAAGAAATAATCATTACTGTAATATTTTAGTCTCTATCTTGTCAAAATTTTACATTCTTTGCATAAATTTTTTAATGTCTCTAATTAAAGTACAAATACAGAACTACATTTATTTTAATATAAGTACTTTCAGTAATAATAAATCTCTTAAAAAATTGTTTCATTGTTCACCATAAATTGAATATTATCAAAGCCAATGCCAAGGTACAAACGCACAAAAGGATGGTAAAGTATAAAGTATGGGGTAAATGCCAGACACCCTGGTGGAGACAGGACCATATGAACTTGTTCTTGCGTTTATAAAAAAACTTTCTTGAGTATAGGAACTTTTGAGTGAAATACTCCTTTACTTCTTTAGATCCCAATACATTAAAAAAAATTTAAAATATACCTCAAGAATATTAAACGCTATGCATGATCGTGAATAAAGTTTAACAAAATTGAAAGTTGATGATGGGCTATAGTATGCTGGTCTGAATGTAAGTACTGGTTTTTGAGTTATTCAAACGCATTTCGGCATTGCCCCATGTTCAGTGAGGAACAGGAGTTGGCGCAATGCCGAAACGCATTAAAACAGCTCAAAAACCCATGAGTGGCAACACACCCAGTAAATGATCCTGTGCCTTTGTATTTTCAGTAATAATAAATCTCTTAATAATTTTAGTCATTATCCCATAAATCGAATATTATCAAAGCCAATGCCAAGGTACAAGCGCATCAAAAGGATGGTTAAGGATAGAGTATGGGGTTAATTTTAGACACCCTGATAGAGACAGGACTTACGGACTTATTCTTGGGTATTTAACAAACTTTCTTGCGCATAAGAACTTTTGAGTGTAATGCTTCTTTACTCCTTTACATCCCAATGCTTACAAAAAAATCTTAAAAAATACCTCAAGAATGTTAAGTACTATGCATCGTCTTAACTAAAGTTTTACAAAATTGAAAGTTGATGATGGGTTATAGTATGCTAGTTGGTGAACTCATGTTGAACCAGCGTAGGGTCACTCACTGGGTCTGAATGTAAGTACTGGTTTTTGAGTTATTCAAATGCATTTCGGCATTGCCCCATCTTCAGTGAGGAACAGGAGTTGGTGCAATGCCGAAACACGTTGGAACAACTGAAAAACCAGTGAGTGGCAACACACCCAGTAAATTACCCTGGTTAGTTCAACATTTTACCAACTAGCAGACCAAAACCATCATCAGCTTTCAATTTTGTAAAACTTTATTTAAGATCATGCATAGCACTTAAATATTCTTTTTTTTTAGTTTTTTATCAATTGGTGAACTTATGTTGAACTGGCACAAGGTCACTTACTGGGTGTGTCGCCACTCATGGGTCTTTGAGTTATTGCAACGCATTTTGGCAACTCCTGTTCCTCACTGAAGATGGCTCAATGCCAAAACTTGTTTGAATAACACAAAACCCATGTATAGCGACATACACATAGCGACAAGTAAGTGACCCTGTGACAGTTCAAACTTTAAAGTCCCCTTTCGCTCCATGCTTTAAATGTTTGTGTATATATATATATATATATATATATATCTTGTCATATTCAGTAATAATAACACATTTTTTTAAATTTTTATAATGTGTAAACAGGTATAATTTAGTTTTAGCTATTAGCCGGGCTTTCTTTAAAATTGTTTTAGTGTCTCAACATCGACAACAAGCTGTACTTTTTCACAAAAGAGGTCCCAAGCTTAGTTATAGGGGAACATACTAGTGTCAAAGTTCAAATCATCAAGAGAAAAGGGAGAGTCAAGAGAAGTAGATGTGATTAAAGGTTCAACGTACAACACCTAAGAGGAATCGCTGGAGGGATAGAGTAATTTTCTGAAATGGTATGGACTTTCGACAAATGCACTTTTTTTAAAGGGGAAAAGGAATTTTGTAATTAAAATTTATTATTTGGAATTATTAATAATGAGATATAGCCGTTTTTATTGCATCATCTGTGAGCAATCTTCGCCCTGAGTACGGGTGGTGTGATTTTCAATAATCATAGTAATAATTCAATTATACTTCCAGGATAACGAAATAATGTTGTAAATATATAATAATAGTCAAATTCAATAGAAAACGGACTATTTTAAGCTTATAAAATATAAAAAGTACCTTTTTTTGAGCAGCAAAATTGGTGACGTCGATTCTCGTCGCCGGCGAGAAAGTGTGTGAATGGCGGGAACGTCGACCTACCAAACTGAAAAATAATTTTACGAACATCCACATTGAAATAAAAAAACTTTGGATTTGTTAAAAAAAAATAATATAAAACGTATATTGAAAAACGAATTTTGTTAATTCGATCTAATTATTTTCAAAATGTAGGTAAAACTTAGGACTATCAGGAAAACATCAAACTGGCAGTGATAAGATCGGACATCAATTTCCACGTTTAAAATTTAATAAATAATTTTAGTTTAATTATTATCAAGTATTGACAATAAATATTCATTCATTTTTTGTGTTTTATTTTCAAAAAGGATTTGAGCAATTTTATATTTTTTATTTCCATGGTAGGTTCCTTGTAACATTGGCCATTTCCCGCCTTTCTTATGGACGGTTACATGAGTCGACAAGGCTTCACTTCTTCGTAAGTTTTATTATATAATATTATCATTTTTATGTTAATAAAATCTTCTGTCTATGATTGAATCTTAGCAAAATAGTTAATTTTTGAAGGGGCGTCGGTGGCCGTTGACACGGCGCTCATCACGGTAAGGTAAAGGTCCCGGGTTCGAATCCAGCGGCCATGCATTGGAACCCGACATACTTACAAATGGGCTTTTTTTTTTCTTTTTTTTTTCAAAAACACCGGTACCCTGAGAGTTTATATGAGCTCTGCTGTTGCGAACGCTAAAAAAAAAAAGTTAATTAAATAATTTAGTAACTGCCTATTTCAAATATTGATTTATTAGATTCATTATTGCAACGCAGCAAATCAGTATAGGCTCTTCAGATAGACTGGCGAATATGAGAAAATTTCCATGCAGAATATCAACAAATGCACAATTTTTTTTCTCAAAGAGAAAAGGGAATTGGTAATTAAATTTAATTGTTTTTATTATTGATAATAAAATTGGAGGAAATAGCCATTCTAATGGCATCATCTGCGAGCAATCTTTGCACAGAGATTGGGTGGTGTGATTTTCAATAATCGTATACACTCCCAGAAATGAAAATAAATAAATAATTTATTAAGCCTTTCAACTAAATAATCCTAATAATAAAGGCACAGCTGAATTATTATAAAAAAATTTGTATGCTAAATAGAAAGCAAGTCTGTTTCAAAACAAACTGCTCAAAAATGAATAGGGATATTGCCAAATTTGTAGTATTACTTTCACTATCATTTTTATTTTATTTTTATTATAAACTCCATTAAAATTGATTAGGAATTATTATGTTTTTACTGAAGTAAAATTTAATGAAGAGATTTCTGCCCACTGAGAAGACACCTCTCCGTACCAGATTCCTTTTGCCGTGTTTTGCGAAATAAAAGAAGAAATGGCAAGGCACTACCTTGCAGAGTGTGATAGGTATGCTAGGTCTAGATTTGAAATCTTTGAAGGAGAGGACATCACTAAATCACTCCCCGAGATTAAATGGTTCAAAACCTTGGGGTTTGTGACCAGGTCCAAGAGATTTATGCAGGACACGTGAGCCAACCAAGTCCCAGACCTTTTAGGGATGGGGTACGAGTCTACCCACAGGCATTTAACCCCTCGGGTCTTGGTCGCCCACCCTGCAAAATATATATAATTAAGAGATTTTGAAAAATTGCAAAATAAAAGGTTTTAATTCCATAATTTTGATTATTGGACCCAATAATTTTTTTAAACAATTAATGCCATGTATAGTGTCCTCTGTTAGCCTCTGTGCACCTGTTAGGCTTTAATAAAGTTGTCACTAATTTCATAAGGAATTTCACTCCATTGATGTTGCAATGCTGCACTTAATTGTTGCAGGTCAACTGGCTGCGGATGGTGATCAAAAAGACTTCTTTGCAATGCATTCCATATGTGCTCAACAGGATTGAGGTCTGAACACAATGGGAAAAGGGGCAGTTGGGAAATTCCCAGGTTTTCTAAACGTTTATGAACAAATCTGCCTCAGTGAGGTCATTTTCATCCAGAAATCAAAAATCCCTGCCAATGAGATCCCTGGTTTGAGTGATGTATTCCTCAATTATTTCTTGGGCATAACGGACGACGGTGAGGTTGCATTCAGCAATTCCAGTTTGCTCTCCAGTGTAAATCCCAGCCCAGCCACTGCCTCCTCTAAACTGCACTGAGGGATTGTACTCATCCTCTGTTCTTAGTAAACCCTTCAGTGCCTGCTATAACTGTACAGATAGAAACCATAAACATAACAGAATCCAATTGGTATTCTCCTTTAGGTGCTGGCTGCAGCATATTCTCTTGAGTCACAGGTGGCAGGTTGTTGCTTCAGGTAGTCTCAAAGGGGCATACAATGTGAGGCCAACTTCCTACAAACGATTATGAATCGTTCCATATGAAAAGGTTCCGTCTTGCAGCAATGACAATATTTCTGTCCTCCCATACCATCATAATGCACTGAGATCCACTACCATGCCTCCTATTGGCACGCCTAGTTTCTCGGAATCGGGCTAAAGCCCGGGTGACTATGCTCTGAGAAACACCAACTGCCTCTGCAATATCCACTTGCCAGTGACCTCAATGACATATTCTCACAATAATATTGCGAACTTCTGATTCAAGGTGATGTCTTTCCATGGTTGAAGAGAATACAACTAGATTAAANCAGCTATGACCCTTAGTGGTTTTATGCCTATTCTTAAGTAAATCCATTATTAAAAATGAGGATTAACATTTGTTCATTTTTGGTTTATATTTTTTTATTTTGTTTTATCCAACTAACAAGAATATATTGGTTAATTTAATTAAAATTAAAAGAATAAACATAAATTTCCCTATTCATTTTTAAGCAGTTTATACACAATTTATTTTAAACAAAACATCTGGTTGTATCTGTTACAAAAGAAACTGACAAAATATCCTTCTTTTAGGCTGCAACCTTCTTGGTCATTAGGCCGTATGGTTGTAAATTCAGCGGTACAGCTCGGCTCCATCAAAGTGAAGCCTCCATAAACCCCAGCACAGTGGCAGCCCTAGGCTGGGAAAGAATGGAACCCCAGGGATGACTTGCAACTAATACATTTAACATTGTGCATAGGGCTTTGTCGAGGAGAGGTCGGTGTCCAGTTACCATCGACACCTCCTCCAAGCTCATTGGATATTCCTTGATCCCAGAGTTCAAGGAGACATCCTTCAATCTAGCTCAAGAGTGACTAGGACCTGAGGCCCCAGATGGGAATCACCACAACCAAGCCCCACATCGCCAACATAAGGTGACAGCAGAGGAATCAAAAGGGGATATGATCTATTAGTTGGATGTCTTTTAGGAAGTTAACAATTTTGTTTACTGATGTTGAAATATTTAGTATGGATTGGAGGTCTTTAGGGATTTGGCGAAGGGCTTTTTGGAAGAGGTGTATAAAGGGCAATCAATTATGATAGAAATTATGAATGGTGGAGTGAGTGTGTTGTTCAACCCTTTTAAAACGATAGTTCCTACTTACAGTAAGTTGTTTTCCAACAATCCGGATTTCGAGCTTTTAGCATTTGCCATTACAGAATGGGATCTACAAAAAAAAAAAAAAATCAATCTTTATCAATTTTAATTAAATATCTAAGGTGTTGTGAAATTATTTATGTATCAGAATCAATGTCAACCTTTAATACAAACATTTCCACTATTTTCTATTGAAGATTCTGGCAGTGCTGAACTGAATATTGAACACATTCCACAAAAATTTAATACATATGGCCAAAATATCAACAATAATGAGCAAAAAGAGTGAAATCTCCCAGCGATTACTTATTTGTCAACAAATTTCAACATTTATTACATGTCGTGAGATTTTCTGTGGCCTGTGGTTAATAAACCTGTAATTTGATCCTTACTGATCTTCTCAATCTGCATACACTTGTTGGGTTTGTCGTGTATCGGCATTTTCATATCTTATTTATGTCTGTCTTTATTTTTATTCTGTTGAACATAATGACAGGAGCAAGAACAAAAAATTAAAATGTTGAATTTTTTAGTTATAAATGGACAAAAATATACAGCTGTGAATAAGCCATCTAAGACTAACCAAAAATGAATTAATAGCCAAACTATCAATGTCAAACATTTATTTTAGTACAAATTGTTTTTTTATTATAAATTTTATAAAAATATAATAGAAATGACAAAAAATATCAGAAATAATGGAAAGTATCCCACTCATGGCACCAACTTTTTCATATCAACGAAAACCTTCGATAAAATTAAAATAATTCATGTGATCAATTATGACTACTAAATACAAATATAGATTAATGTATGTGTTTCCTCTTTTACAGTTTCCCCTATATTTTTAGCTGATATGTGAGCAAGTCCATTTTATTTTTTACATTCTATAAAAAATAAATAAACCAGTTATCATTATAAAGATGAGTAATTTATTTTAGCAACAACCTCCAGCAAACGGATTTTTTATCCATGCTGTAATGCTTGTGTCAGTTATTTATTTGTTAATTGTGTGCACATTTAATTTTTTTTTCAATTTAATATTATATTAAAAATTATTTAATACTCTATTAACATTTTTTAATATAGTATGTCTATCTATCTGTCTACATATCATCTTCCGTTTGAAGATATTATTAATATTTCAGCTATGAGAGGTGGAATATTTAGAAAATAGAGTATTCTCCAGCTGGAGAACCAAATACGTGTTATGTTTTATAATCTCAACAGCAGTCATTTTTGAAAGACGGGAATTAGGGAGATTAAGAATTTTCAGGACATATTGAAGTGTCCTCAGTGCAGATACCATCAATAGATCCGTGGATACAAATACAACATATTGCTAGGGTTTGAGGAATGGAAGCAGAAAAGCTTTTTGAACATTTTTTTAGACATTCCTCAACAACGTCATACTGTACTACCCCAAACTTTTCATAGAACAGGACATACCAAAGACACTGCATCAAATGAGTATTAGCATTTTGTGGGATGTTGTAATTTAACCTTAAGCTAGCCCAAACTCTGTTAAATGTTAGACACCTGCTTCAAATGGTTTTTGGAAAAAAAAGTACTCATGTAGTTGATAATTTTGTGATTAGTGGAGTGTAATTCTTATTGAACTCATGGGTATGAAAATAAATAAATATTTATTTGTTGTATATCCTTGTAAAATTAATAATTGGTCTAATAAGACCGGTTTTAATAAGTGAACAGATTTTAAATAATATTTCATATTGTTAATGTCTTGTTCATTGGGTGGTGTCTTGGGTTGCGGCTTGGGTGCCCACCTGGTGAAGGTTGTGGGGGGGGGTGTCCGGAGCGTGTGATGCTGCCGGGGCCCCTGGTTCCCGCTATTGGGGGTTCCTGAGCTGTGGCCCAATCTCCACCTGGCTTGAAATTTTTAAGGCGGAAAATGACCCAAAGCGGTTGATCGCCTTTTATAATATATAAAAAAATGTCTTGTTCAACTTAACACTTAGAATTTTCTGGCCCCTCTCCAGCAATTTTGAAATTTCAGTTAAATGTAAAATTGCTTTTAATGAGTGAGAATCAAAATAAAAACTACTAAAAATCGTAAAAAATGCAATGTTTAAAAAAACTGTATTGTAATTTTAATTTTGTAATAAATTTTGTTGGATAAAGCTGGTTTTTAACAAGGTAACCATGAAGTAACCTCCATATTTGTTATTGATAAGGATAGGACAAAGTCAAGTTAATTACAACTTAATAAAATTAATTTAAAGTCATGTTTTTAAAATATAAAGTTTAAAAGACTTTTTAAAATGTTTTAATTGTGTCTCGTATAGTTAAGAGTTTAAGATTGTCGGTAATAATGGCTTTAATAGATTTTGGCACAGATCGATGGTATTTATTTAACAGAATTATTGATTTTTTCTTTGTTCCGCCTAAATTTTTACCATTTTAACATGAAGGATCAGGGACTTCGAGTCGTGCGAAACGCTCCACCTGAAGATACTCAATGAGCTGAGTGACAGGGACACGCTTCTGTCAAATACGGTCAAGTACGATTCCCTCAGTGGTACGATAAGGGTCCACCTGAAACAACTCGAGACAGAACTGAATCAACTGCAGTCGAACCTCGACTCGGCAAGCTTCATGTATCCTTTTAACCATGCAGCTTATTTTCTCATTGCGGTGTTTTTTTTTTCCTTAAACGTTACGAAGCACTTATGAGGAGAAGGAAAGGAGACAGCGCCTCATCGAGGACCTAAATAGAAAGAAGAGTCAGTTGATGAATATGTACAGTTCCAGGTTGGCCCATGTGATATTTGATTTTGTATTTTTATTTGACTTGTTTTGATTTAATTGAATTTTAAAGAATTTCATATCAGCCTACACAACAGAACTGGTCGGCCGACGATGACGATGTGCCTCTCCTTGGCGAGACTTCCATACAGTCTTTAAAGGAAAGACAGGCAGAACTGTTATCCGGTAAGTTTGTACACAAAACACAAAAGAAATTATTAATATTATTATTATTATTATTTTATATAAAAGAACAGGATAAAGGATTGGATAGACTTTCCAACATAATCTCGCGGCAGAAAAATATTGTGATCACCATAGGAAATGAGGTCAATAGTCAAAATGGTATGTTTAACCCATAATTTTTTTTTTTCATGTTCTTACAATTCGATAATTTTTAACAGAAATAATTGATGATATTGGTACAAGGATGGAATCGACTAATGTGCAAATACACTCCGAAGGCAGATCAGTGCAAGGTATAGCAAAATCCGATTCCACTTATGGTTATTGGATTATAATAATAATACTATTTTGCATAATTATCGCCGTAGCGTTGCTTACATAGTGTAATATATTTTTAAATGTTATAAATGTATTTTATTTTTAATTTTTCAAGTGACTATTCCTATTTAAAGTGTCATGTAATCCATTGCCTTCTTTAATTATAAATAAAGTTTTATTTTCTATGATAAACCTATCGAGGGTTTTCTGTTTTCTTCTGTGTGTTGGTGAATCAACCAATCATCCCAGCCTGCCTATCTTTCTAGCTGGTTTTGAAATAAAAATTCATTCATGAGCAGTAAAGAACGTAGTTAATGATAATGGGCCGGATCACCCAAGAAGCTCTTATCAAGAGCATGACAGCGGTGGTCCATCGAAGGTCTGATGGCAGGGATCATTTTAAAATAGGCCACCTCATTGAACCTGCAAACCTGCACAGGTGTCCCATTTGTATAGAAAGGTTCCTCAGTGTGTCAAACATCCCTTGTCCCTTGGAAGGAGTTGGCAGGGCACCTGGCATTAAGGCAGTCCTTGGGTTGGTTGCCAGGTCCCTTGTTCAGATTTTTAAGGGATACGGGGGTGCTTCCCTATCTGTAAATATTATATATAATTATTGTGTAGCTCTTCAGTTTGTGTGAATGAGTAAGAGGGCTGATGACGGAATACCGAGTACCCATCAGCCTCAGAGTGCGTTGGAGGCTGATATGACGCCATTGTCAATAGTCAATAAAAAAGTGTGCAATAAAAATTCACAGCACTTCAACAGAAATTAACAGATAAAATAAATATATTAATATACTAATTGTACAAATTACAATAATTGTTTTAAACATCTCTAACCATCAACAGTTAGTAAAAAAAGCCTGCATACAGTTTCAGTACATCATTTTGAGATTTAAAATGGTTAATAAAAAAATTGTTAGCTTGTTGCAACAAAATTAAATAACAGGGGCCTTCTTTATTTTTGAGCACCTCGTAAGTCTGTTTTTCATCTAAATTGCTAATTTTTTGGCCAGAATCAAGATTTTCCGATTCTTGTTTGACAGCATCAGCCATACCATCAGCCATAATTTGTAATTTAACAATTTATGCCCTACTTCCCCATGCAAACCTCCCCGTCATGCTTCATCGCACACAATTTTTTTAAAAATTTGATAACTTTTTTATTTAGTTTTGCAGTTCCTGGATCGTCTGTACAGTTAACTGATATTGCAAACAAATAACCATTTTCCATGATTTTGGTGTTGCACTATCAATAGTTTTAATTTCAACCAGCATGTCAATTATAATAAAATATGTATATTATTGCCTCGTACGATTGATACTTAAGTATTACTAAATAAATTTCAAAATAAAAGGAGATAAGAACATTTTGTTGTTGAAAATTACACCAAAGATGTATTCAAACTGATTTTGTGTAATTGAATTCAAGAGATCCTTAAAAAATGATCTTAAACTCAATTATTAATTGTAGGTCAATCCCAATATAACTAATTATTTTACAGAAAAAAAGTCTATTTACATATGTGAATTTGTTTAAACTTTAATATCCATTCTTCAATCCAAAAATAATCAGGGTACAACATATCCAAATTTAATTTTTTTCCAGGGTTTGCTGGTATATACATATTTCTTTTTTAACTTAGTATTATTAATAATTTACTATGTTATAAATATGAACTTTTTAAATGTAAATTTTGTTGTTTTGTATTAAGAGAGTATTGAAATTGCTATTTCACACTTTATTAAGATTGTAATATTTTTGAAGGAAACTTAACATGGGAAAGCTATCGACAGTTTTATCAGTGCTGATATGAACAATTGGTAGTGATAATATTAAGGCGACAACAGCAATGAATAATTTAAACAGGAAATTGTTTTAAGCAAGCAAATTTTTACTATTAAATTTTTATTCGCATTAATATATTGCTTTATTTACAATTATTATGTATATTTTACAATTTTTAAAAATAAAAAACTAAGAGAGCACGCTTATAGATTAAATTACTTTATCAGCTCCGTGACGCACCAATAAACTGAAGGATGTAAATGAAAAGATTTATTATGTCTAAGTAGAGGTTGAGCGATGCGAAAATATATTCTTCAGGTGAAATGGAGTATCTGAAACAAAATTGATAAAATAAGCAAAATGTATAGACTTTTTCTTTTCTTTTTTGTACTTATGTTTCCCGCCCAGCATGAGTTGCGTGTCATAGATGATGAAGAGCGAGAAGATGCACGCACCAACAGCAGCAATAATGAGCTGCATCAAGCGACCCTTCATAAAGATAAAGGCGAGAAGGCTGAATATGAAAAAAATTATGAAACATGCAAACAGAGCGCCACCCCATTTCGTGAAGTCCATTTTGGTTTGAAAGGAGAAAATTGTCAGAGAGAAAACAACAACAGCGCACATACCAAGAGCAATCATCACCTTAAAAAATAAATAAATAAATTCAATGCATATTTTATTTTATAATAAGCTTACTTCTGATGAATTATAAGATGCGGCGATAACACCCAAAAGGAAGCCTTCCGTGAGTGTGAATAGTCCGAGGACGATGAAGTTCATCGGCGCTTTTCGACGCACGCCTTCGCAGCAGACGAGCATTATCACCAGCACGATGTTCACAACAATTGCTACAATACTGATGTAAATCTTTTATTTATTTATTTTAAATAATTTAATTACTTGAAAATTACAGTATCCATATATTATGACTAACGAAATCTTGGACTTTGACGCTGAAGGTGAATAGTGACACAACACCGACCGACACCAGGAGTTGTGTAAATAATATGCTGTACACTTTTCTAAAAAAATAAATAAGTTTTGATGCAAGTATTATAATTATTAATTGAAGTTCATATAAATTTATTTATATATTATCTCGCATTTTGTTTATTTTATTATTTAATATCTGATCTCAATGTTGCAAACCAAGGGAAAATTTGCAAGTATTTTCACTCAGATTTTTTTTTTAGTGAGTATTAACAATTTATTGCTGGAATTACACAGAAAATCATTAACAATTATTATATTTTGATTACGTATGTATTCTTATCTAGAATTTGTTGCAACGATTGCAATATAAAGAAAGAAAATTCCACCAAATCAGTGTGAAAATACAAAAATATTACCGATGTTGGCCAAAGAAGCTTCATTCATCTTATTTTTCACTGAAATCAGATAAGATAGTGAATAAAAAATACATAGAGAAAGTATAAAAGATTTTTTCTGTTTTATTTATACATTTAAATCTTTGGTTATGTAATTTATAACTTAATCTTGGGTAAGATTTTTTTCTTCTTCACCTTATAAATCCTCTCCTGACTGATTCATCATCGAAATGCATCTGTGCTTCATAATTGTAATCCATCTTGAATGAAACGGACAATTTTTACAGAAAACACTGTCGGCGTGGGTGTATTTTTTGAAATTATCACCATTCAAACAAGGAGATAAGAAGTGTATTGCTTATTATCTCAGGTGCTGCATGGCATAGAAGGGGGCTGAAACAAGTGGAACTGCACAAAAGAAAAGAACTTCCCAATGTTATCAAACTTTGTTTTTAAATATTGACAAGAGGATGAATAAGTGTACGGAAATAGAACGAGTGGGGACGTCATTGGATAAGAGAAATGTGACAGACATGTAAGAATTCTTTATTTACATTTTTATTCTTCAAAACTAGGATGATTGTTTAATAAAGAATAATTAAGACACTGATTGTCTGTTTTATTGGTGCATTAGAATTACCTTTGGATCAAAGAGAGATAGATAGATAAAAGAGAGAGAGAGAGAGAGTGAGAGAGAGAGAGTGAGAGAGAGAGAGATGGTTTACAGTGGATTAACACAATCAAAATAAAAAGTAATCTTTAAATAATAACAAACATAACTTCTATCAGGAAAAGAGAAAAAAAAATAGACATTTGTAAGTGACAGTCGTAAAGATACATTTCATCAACATCTTAACATGACAATCTTTGTACTTAATTGAGGAAAAAGAGAGCGGAAAAAAGATTAATATTAAAGGTCAATATTTTTATACATAATTTGATATAAAAATTTTTTTTTTAGTTTTGTTCTAACATATTTATTTTCTTACAGTGCTGAATTTCAACTAATAATTTTGAAAACACTCTTGCACTTTTAATTGCAAATGAATTATTAAATATTGTGGTTCTGTTTTATAATTTGTAATTGCTTAGTTTTATATCTAGTGTTTATATTATGTACATCAGATGTATATTTTATTTTTTTATATATGTAGTAGGTTTTTCATTTTTAACACATTGAAGATGATACATGCTAAATTATAATCAATTAAATCATTAGTTTTTAAAAACTGGAGTTGAGAATATTTATCATAAATTCTATCAACATATTTTAAGTTAAGTAGTTAAGTATATATCGTAATACATATTTACACCAACTTGTAATTTATTGGTTTGCATACAATGTAAGTCACATTGCAGCTATTCCATATTTAATATACGGGAATACTAGAGCTTGTACTAAACATTTTTTGATAGTAACATTCCCAAAAGAGGGAGAATGTATACATACATTTATCGATTTTCTCATTTCTATTTTTTCATCAAATTTCTCTCTCTCACACTCTCTCTCTCTCTCTCTCCCTCTTTTGGGAATGTTACTATCAAAAAACGTTTAGTACAAGCTCTAGTATTCCCGTATATTAAATATGGAATAGCTGTAATGTGTGACTTACATTGTATGCAAACCAATAAATTACAAGTTGGTGTAAATATGCATGTACGATATATATATATTTAACTACTTAACTTAAAATATGTTGATAGAATTTATGATAAATATTCTCAACTCCAGTTTTTAAAAACTAATGATATATCTTTATCAGAAAAATATGGGGACACTAGATAGTTAAATAAATAGGCAGATAGAGATGAAAGTAAGATAATAGATGGAAAGCTAGAGATAAATATATATTTAAAACATGCTTTCAGTTTGTACATTTGCCTGAGTATAAAGTGTCCAGTTAGCAGTCCTTTTTTAGACGTCGCTTTCGACAGGGTCTGGCATCCAGGCATACTTTTTAAACTTAAGCGCTTCCTACTAAATTAATAAAAAACTAAACTTCCTAAATTATTCATTTTAGAGATACCTGTAGTTCGTAGTATAAAATATCGGTTTTCTATTGATAGACATTTTACTTAATGCTGATTGTTTGGATATACCACACATTACTAAATAATGTCCACTGTATGGACATTAGTTGCTGGATATATAAAATACCAACATTTTACTCAACTATACCAATTGTATGGAAAAATATTTACTGCGATATAAAATATCGATATTTTGCTACAACATATAAGTTGGTGTCCATAAACTATCGATTAAAAATATCGACATTTTAATATATGATATTCGTTATATGGATATTAGTTGGTATCATACAAAGTATCCATGTTTTGATTATTGATGATCATTATGTAGATTTTGTTTTATAATATCGATACGTACAATGAGAGGTAAAACGATCTCCCCCCCTCCCCCCCGAGTGGACCGAAGTCACTGTAGCTCAAGTGGTTAGAGCAGCGGCGTATTGAGCCCACGATCGTGGGATCGAATCCCGCTCGTGACACTGACTTTTTATCTCAACCAAAAACCTTACATAAAAAAGAATAATTAATTGAAAGAAGGAAATTACTTGGTCAATTGACCACTGAAACATAAATGGATTAATAATAATAATAACAAATTTTTGAAAGTCAATAGAATGTGCTTTCCATTTTGAAAAAAAAAATTGCATTGTTTTAGGTTTGTTCCGTTTGTAAATTATACAAGAGGATTATCCGAAAATTGTATAAATATACTTTCACTTTTCCATGACCATTAGTACTTGTCAATTAATGGTTGAGTTTTTGACATCTTGTATAAGGTGTTTTGCATACCCACAAATCTAAGCTCTTCGTTAAGCTTAAGTGCTTAAGTTCCCATGTGTATTCTTTGGTCTCGTCTTTTCCTCTCCCAGGAGTAGGAATTTCAGCTTGCATAGACTCTCACCAACAGAGAACATGTTCTGCAGTATCATCTAACTGGCAATATCTGCATATGCTTTCAGAGTTTATAAATTCGCCTGTGTATACATTGTCCGGTTAGCAGTCCTAATACCATTCTAGACCCAACAGATCCTAGGTTTGGCAGTTCTATCATTAATTTCTGCTATGGTCCTTTGATGGACGTTTTCGCATGCATCCTGGAATATAATTTCATTGAACCGAGGACTTATTTTTTCATTTTATTTATTTATTTATTTTTTTTTACGAGGGTTTGCAACATCAGAGGTTATATCAAACCTCGGAGTGCCGGTGTTTTTGAAAAAAAGCCCATTTGTAAGTATGTCGAACCCAGGACCTTTACCTTACAGAGATGAGCGCCGTGTCAACGCCTAAACCGTTGCGGCCACCGACGCCCCCGAGGACTTATTCTTAACCTGATAGGTTTTTGGCAATTTGGCATGCAAAAGGTTTCAGGATTGATAAGTGCCTTAAGCAAACTTTCCTCGGCCTCCTCATTGCCTGACTTCCCTGTGTGCCCTGGTATCTAAAAAAGGTGTTAGACCGGTCCTTCATGCAATCCCAAATGGATCTGGGCTTTACTACCAATGAATAGTTGCCTTTAGTGCTACCTGGCTGTCTGATTAGTTGGCTATTATTTTGATGGTAATACCCAGCATTTTGACCCCTAGCATGGAATGAATGTCATATTGCCCAAGCCCTGTACGAATTCTAGCACCTGCTTTGACTCCATAGATTTCTTGACTCATACTCAGCCTGAGAGCCATCTGTCTACCAGATATAGTCGACATTAAATTTTAATTTGAAATTCTTATTTTGAATTTTGGGACCATGGCGACACAGACATCCCCAGAACTTCGACATTCCTCCCAAAACTTGCTCCTTTTCATGTGAGTAGACTTTTGAAGTCTGTGAATTGTGGCTTTAGCCTCTTCTTTGGATGAAGATAGTGGAGGTACATACACGACCAGCTAGTAGTGGTCTCATCACCCCATGCCCTGGGCCGCTAGTCTCTGAGCAGCACTAAGGAATATGAAGATCCTGGCCTATTTTATTTATTTATTTATCTAATAAATACATTTTTTGCAGGCGACTCGTCTTAATTTGAGCAAGAGGACAATTAGGAAAATGACGAGGTATCAAAACATTTATTAACAACAAACAATAACAGTAAACGAAGATCTGATAAAAATGTTTAAGATAGAGTTGGAGTGAGTACATTAATTCCTGATCATGCTGATTGTGTTAAGTTAATATTGTTGATTGATGATGTCATGTAAATTACGGCCATTTTCTCAGAATAGTACTTATAACGCCTATTACGTCTAACGTTGTTTGCACTAAAACAGCTGATGTTTTATTGTCTAACGAATCCATAAAAACAGTATCTTTAACATTATGACTAATGTGTGACAGATTTACTATATTATTTTTCCTAGGAAAAGATTTTTCTTTGTTTTTTGTACTGTCATTTGATTATATCAACTGTGATTTAATTTGGGCGAAAAAATATATTAGCGGTATCTAGTACCCAAAAATAAAAATCGTAGCCTTTTTTTGAACTTTTTTCGAAACCAAAATTAGTAGAAATATCTTGGGAAAGTTAGAGAAGGAACTTTTCGTTGTGGGAAAAATCTAGTTTATTATTTGAAAATGGGAATCAACTGTGCGATACTCCCTCTTGTGTTTTGGCCAAAGGATCAATTTAAAAAAAAAGGTTAGATCCTTGTTGATTCGCGTGTTGTTGGTTTGGTGGTTAAAATTATGTACATTTTTTGTCACTTTTTGATAGTCATATTGAACTGGTTTTCGTTAATTTCCGCTCTACGAAGCTAATTTTTTGTAAGGAACCACTTTGGTTGTTCCCCGAATTAACTTTTGTGCATTTAGGTTTCTTTTGTTTTTGGTCTTCTGGAAATGGATGTGTAATTTGGACGTAACCGTTCAATTTTTGTCTGTATGTTCTCACTGAGCTAGTCTGGCAGACCAAATTACAGGTTCATCACCCCAAAGAACAAGCTGTATTAAAGGTTTTCATACAGCATAGGTACGGTACATAATAAACTTGACTATGGCCAACAACCAAGGATGAAAAGAAAAACTAATCGTTATTTTATTTTAAACATACAATAAGAACAAATAAATTAAATAATAAATATAAATATCTCAGTCTTAGGGGCATAGGTTTGTTCCGGTTTACGGTTTCAGTTAGTCATCCCATCGACTTCGATCTTGCTGAAGATTCTGTTCGCCACCTCCTTGAAGTTCATCCCGAAAGCTTTTGAAATTGCCGGTTTAAGCTCGGACAGGATGACTTCCCAGTTTTCATTCAGGAATTCGTTCATGTGTTTACCTGAAAAAATGTAAGGACTTAATGGATTTTAACACACGATTGGTCCACTTTTTGAAAAAAAAAAAAATAGTTTGGCTGTAAATATTTCCCAGCTTTGTGACAAAAATAATAAGAATAATAATAACGAACATAACCCCCCCCCAACGTATATCCCTGCAGACGATAAGAGGAAACGTCACAATTTGCCAAAGGACGACGGCTTGTCTCTAATCTTTAAACCCAGCGATACACCGTTTTGATTACTTTCATTTTGTTTTCCATATAAAAATCCGCATCATTGTCTTGTTTTGTATTGTATAATTTAACTTATATTCCTTTAACTTTATCATTATTTGACTTTATCACCATATCACCACTTGCGAAATCCTTCTAAAAAGCCATAATTGTCCTTATAATTATTTACAACTTAATCCTTAGAACCGATAGCCTATTTCCTAATCCAATATTATTCATCAAATTGCCAAACTTCAAAACCTCAGTATCTTCCTACGCCATATTGCATCATCAGATTGATGCAATTACATGGTAAAATCCTTGAAAAAATTGAAAACACTGTATACTATTCTTGAAAGCAATAGTGTTATTCCTTCCCATTGGGTTCAGGCGACATAAGGCACTTTAATTGTGTTACAGGGTGGTAGACAACATTGCATCCTCCCATGAGTGTGCTGAATGCTGCTCGAGTGCTTGCTTTTCCAACCTTGGGACGAGCGTGGCACCGAAACCCGGGTGGAAATCCTCTATTTAGTGACTGGGGCTATAAGATAGTCACTTTTGCAATGGGTCTGTTGAGCAACGTTGACTATCGTGCAGGGAACTGTGTGCAGTGTGGGGAGCCAGTGGCGGGTGTCGATGAGCCGGATGGTTGTGGAAGCAGGTGCTGTGAAGGAGTACGGAGTGTAGGGGCCCACAGAAAGACATTCTCAGACAGCCAAAGCTCTCTGAAGGCTTTAGATTTTTCCACCTCCAACTCAAAGTGCCCAACTTCTTGGAAAATGCAATCAGACAATCTTTTCAAATACGTTTATCATTCCTACAATCAAGTAACTCTGGATATGAGTGCCAGGATGCGAGGGGATTGAAGGCGTTGGACATGCTGACAAACTGGCAAAAGCTTGTGCAGCCCGAACGCCCTTTGAACCAAAACCAAAAATCGCCACTGCCCAAAATTATGCTGCGGAACTAAATATTGGATGGAGTGGTTACACACCGGATGGATTCATCAGGTGCAAAACAATCGAAATTGCTAAACATCTTTTAGTGCTGGGTTGTGGTTGTGGTTTCTAGTACAAAGTGTAGGAGGCAGCTGTTATCTAAGTCCGGATGTCGAGCTGTTGTTTTTAGTGGCTTCTGATGGCAGTACTGCATAAGACTAGCATGCTCCATTCTTTCAGCAAACCCAGACCCAGCAGCCTTCAGAAACCTCCAGGACTCCTGAGTGGAAGAATAGTTTAAAAATGGAGGATCAGATTCAACAAAACCAATTCCCAACAAATGACTTTCATCTCTCCTCCAATCCTCTACAACTTTACTAGCAAACTGGAGGCAACGGAGGGACTTTACATAGAGAAAAGACTTGAAACTCCCATTTCTCAAAAGAATAGAATAGTATAAACGACTTAAAATACTACTTGGCAAGAGGTCGAAAGTAGAACTTAGAAGTAGAATTTAACTCGGCTGCGGTGTCCGAGTGGTTAAGGAGTTGGACTCGAAATCCAATGGGCTTTGCCCGCACAGGTTCGAATCCTGTCCGCAGCGTTTATTTATCCTGTGTAAGTCCGGAAACGGACATAGGAACAGGCAGCCTTAGACCTTTGAAGGTCGAAAGTAGAACCAAACTCTGTCGAAAATCTTTCATCCCTTCCCTTAAGTTTTTTATGTAGCTTACCCATTCTTTTATCACCGTGGAACATCCCTCCGAAGTTCATCTTGAGCTTTGACGTCGTGAAATTGATTGTGTAGTCGTCGACGACCAGATGCTTGTCTTCGTCGTCGTCGTTTTTCACCTTCCTCGTCTTCAGCATGTTCATCGTGCTTAGATTTTCTGCAAAAAATGGATTTTTCAAGTCAAACAGGAAGTAGGATTTTTTTAAAAAATATTATTCGGTTTGTACCGAAAGTCAACGAGCAATTCCCCTCGCCGACTACGGGGAGGATGAGGATTTTCCCGTTGGCCGAGTATTCACCCTTAGCCACCAGGTCTTTCGTCGTGTTCATCCTGAACTGTAAAAGTCCTTTTTCAGGGTCGAATCTGAAATTAAAAGTTCGTTGGTAAATTTTAAATCGGCCTTTTTCTTAAAATCACTTAATCCCTCTCGCGAAAGATTGAAGTCAAAAAGTGGCAAAATCAACAGACCGCGTCCTTCCCGAACCGGTCTATCTTGATCTACTTCTTAATCCGACTTCCGCATCGTTGCGCAACCCGTGTCTCACCTGACTTTGTCGACGTTCGGGTCGCCGAAACCGTGAAGTTCGAAGTTCTTGAACTTGAGGTTGATCATGACCGGACCTTTGCCCTGCTCGATGTTGATCATTTTGAAGACAAAAGGATCCAGCGGCATCACTCCGAGCATTTGGTTCCCTGGAAAAAAATCCTATTTTAATATTCTCCAGGCACTTATTATTTCACAAGGGAAAAACTTCAAAATTAAGTCAGCTTAAAGTACTCGCTTTCGAAGCATATTGTTTTAGAACTTTGGACTATAATCAAGCCTATTACCTAACTTTTTAAAAGTTTAAACCTATCGACCTAATCAATATTTAATTTCCGTGATAAATACATCCTGACACACCCATTTTATAACGTACAGAGTTAGCCGCAATAATTAAAAAAATCGTTAAATTAACTGTTTTAAACCAACTTATATCTGAGTACAGTTCAGGTAGACCTAAGAACTTAATAATTGAGCAGAACTACGATTTAAGTCCCGCTGTGTGGATTAAGCCGACTAAAAAATAAACATAGATTTGGTAAAGAGTTTCAGGTTTCTGGGTTTTATTTCAAATTGGGTAAAGGTTCAGGCGAGACTAGGCGGACCCAAGAATTTCATAAGCGACGGGGCTTTAAGCCCACATCGTGGTAATTTGAGTCGATTGAACAATAAACATGGATTTGGAAGTGTTTTAGGTGTATTTCAAATTCGCTAAAAGCTAAGGCGAGACTAGGCGGACCCAAGACAAAATAATCGAGCAGAACTTTAAGTCCACACCTTGGCAGTTTAAGTCGATTGAATAATAAAAATTTGTTTAGGTGGTATTAGGTTTTTGTGCTATTTCAAATTCGCTAAAAGCTAAGAGAATATAAATAACCGACGGGGTTTTAAGTCCCCACCGTTTTAATTTAAGTCGATTGAACAAAAAACACGGATTTGGTAAGGTTTTTTAGTTTTCTGTTGTATTTCAAATTGGCTAATGGTTCAGGCGAGACTAGGCGGACCCAATAACCTAAAAACCATCGGGGCTTTAAGTCCACACCGTGGTAATTTAAGTCGATTGAACAATAAACACCAGCTGGGAGAGCCTACTTGCTCTTAACAGAGTGGACGTATACCAGGTCATATATTCGTTCTTACAAAACAGTGACATCAACGTGTAAACGTGAAATCGTTAAGGTAGAGGTTCAATCCCCTTGGGGTTCAGCCCGGATACGGAGCTGTCTTCGGGTCGGGCTCTCTAAACGCGCTGGGCATTTATTCCCCGGGATGTGGACTTTTCCATAAGACCATGCGTCATATTTGTAAATGGTTTTTATCCACATCCTCCTGAAACACCGGTTTTATGAAGAACAGTAGCCTTTTAAATTGTGTAAAGTGTGGACGAGAGCCTTCCCGGGGCTGGCGTTCTGCGGCCGGCGGGGATCCCCGCCTTGTAGGACGGCTACTGGCTTCCCGAGAGGTTGATCTTTATTTATTTTGTAATTTATTCTGTAGTATTTATTGTAGTTAGTTGATAGTGTGTGATAGTGTGATTTGTGTCTTCAAATTGTTAGTTTTATCAAAATGTAATTTGTTATTTGGTAGGTCTGCACTTTTATTTGTTCATTGTTGTTTGTCTTCATTTATCCTTTGTTGTTGTGGTTGTTTTCGTACCGAATTTTTGATCTTTAGTACTTATGGTGGTTGATCAATATTTATTGCTCTCGTTACTTGTTATTTATTCATTGCTTTATGATTCTGAATTTCTAGTCATGTTAAAAAATGGAATTTGATATTTCAGAGGTCCGTACTCTTGCTGAATGTTCCAAAACAAAGCAAAAAAAAACAAAAAAACAAATAAAATAAAATAAATTTTAAAAAATAAATAAACACGGATTTGGTAAGGTGTTTTAGTTTTCTGTTATATTTTAAATTGGCTAAAGGTTCAGGCGAGACCAGGCGGACCCAAGAATTTAAATAACTGACGGGATTGAATAACAAAAATGGATTCGGTGAAGTGTTTCAGGTTTTTGTGTTTTATTTCAAATTGACCAAAGGTACAGGCGAGACAATTTTACCCCAGAAGGAATAACTGAGCTGAACACCCATAGGACTTAACTTCGGCTTGTTCAAAATTGACATCAAACTCTGTCCCATTTGAACAATTGTCATTTGTAGACTGAGCATTAGGCACACGAAGCTGACGCATGAATTTCTCACGATATTAATAGTAACATATACGATTCTTACCTTTGTGATAGTAACAAGACGGCCATGATATTCCTCATAAATAACATTCAAATTAGCGATCATTGCTGATAACAAGTCGAGTTAATCGAGCATTTTTTTTGTATTTAGATTCTTAATTGAGTAAGAACGAGATTAGACGGACACAAAGTTGAATTGATCAGAAAGCTATCCAGCACGGATAAACAGTAAATATATATTGACAAATAAAATGTTTAATATGACATAACTAACAAGATATGAACAATCTGACAATAGGCGTTTCGCGAGGGCATAGATGCGACAGGGCGGACCCAAACTCCAAAATAACAGAACCCAAAGGCCGTTGAAAGGATTTTCTCGCACACTAAGTTGAAACTTGCATATATTTGATAATAAAAAAAGTTACTACGTGGATTTAATTTCAGTGATGATTTTTACCGTGTTTAAGTGATTTTATCGCCTCCTCGATCGCCCCGCTGAGGCATTTTTCAGTATCTTTCTCCCCCATGCAGCTCTTCCATGATGTTTCTGAAAAAGAAATTTTGTTTAGTTGATTTTTTTTGGGGAGGGGGAGTATTAGAAGAATTAAGAAAAATAGTTGATAAATTTAGGTCGAAGTTTTGTACCGGTTCAGATTTTCCAGAGAAGTCTGTACTCTAAGAAAAACCTTTACAGTCGAATCTTTTTTATCGTTTCCTTTTCCATATACCACGGTTAAATTGTTAAAATTGGCTACTTACGAACTTTGGCTAAGGCGAGACCCGCGCAGGCTAGTAGCAATATAGACTTCATGATTTTCGGTCCGTGATTGTAACTGGACCGTTTCGCTATTTTTGTAAGCTTTTAAAGCAACAGGGCACAAGGCTAAGTGAAACATTTCCACCGGTAAACTGGACTTATTTCTTCCTATCCTTAATTTATTCCGGAATCACTTCCTTCTCCGCTGTTCGCCTCACTTTGTTTCTCGTGAAGACCTTTAAACGATTTTTTTTTAAATGACATGCCGGCTGTTATAAAATGACTTTTCAATGCGACCAGATTATAATATTTATTTAAGGTCAATAATTAACAAAACGGGAAAGGATCAGGTCTTCGACTTTCATCGAACGAATGAAGAAGAGGCCCTGAAAACAAAAAAAATCGACCGGATCTTTTATAGAGGCGGAAGTAGATAGAATTCTTCCTGTTTTTTAAATACCAAACCGGATTGTGTTTAGAAAAAAAAGCGATCTTTTTTTATTGTTTATAAAGTCCGATCGGTCCCCCCCCCCTTTCCACCTTGTCAATTCCATGGGAGAGTTTGAAGTTCAAGTCCGTGAAACCGGGAGGTGAATAATCTGAAACTTTCAGCTTTATAGACTACGGTTGAATGTCAAATCGCCTTTTATGAATGATCCGCCGATTGTTCTATTTCAGACTATTTTTGTACAAAAAAACAACAACATTTAAACGGGAAAATAGTTGCCATTTTGTTAAAGAAAAATCGGTATTAATGTAATCAAAAAACAATTCTCGACGATAATTTTGTAAGTTATAGTTTATTTTGGAAATATAAAGTTTTAATATAAAAAGAAATCGATATATTACATCGCAATCGTAAATAACACCGATACTACGAATATTATTGGTAAAAATAATTAAATCACCTGAAAGTTAGAAAGAAACTTTACAGAAAAGCCAATAAAAAAGAGATGGGATATTAAAATATTTTTATAAAATCCAATTATAAATTCAAATGATTGATATGTTGTATTTACCTCTAATCCTTAAAAACTGACCAAATATAAGGTAATCAATGGAGGATTTTCTAAGGGATAATTAAAAATATTAATCCATTTAGGTTTAGTGGTCTAATTGACAATTGTAATTATTTCAATTAATTATTTTTTTAATGTAAGATCTTGGTTGAGATGAAAAAAAGAGAAAGGTATGATGTCGACTATAACTGGTAGACAGATGTCTCTCAGGCTGAGTATGGGTGAAGAAATCGATGGAGTCAAAGCAAGGACTAGAATTCGTACTTGGGCAATATGACATTCATTCTATGCTAGGGATCAAAATGCTGGGTATTACCATCAAAATAATAGCCAACTAATCAGACAGCCAGGCAGCACTAAAAGGCAACTATATCATTGGTAGTAAAGCCCAGATCCATTTGGGATTGCATGAAGGACCTGTCTTACACCTTTTTTAGATACCAGGGCAGTCAGGCAATGAGGAGGCCGAGGAAAGTTTGCTTAAGACACCTATCAATCCTGAACCCTTTTGCATGCCAAATTGCCCAAAACGGATCCATCAGACAATGGGTTAAGAATAAGTCCTCGGTTCAATGAAATTGTATTCCAGGATGCATGCGAAAACGTTCATCAAAGGACCAAAGCAGAAATTAATGATAGAACTCCCAAACCTAGGATGTGTTAGGGCTAGAATAGTATTAGGACTGCTAACTAGACACTGTATACCCAGGCGAATGTATAAACTCTGAAAGCATATGCAGATATTGCCAGTTAGATGATACTGCAGAACATGTTCTCTGTTGGTGAGAAAGTCTATGCAAGCTGAAATTTCTACTCGTGGGAGAGGAAAAGACGAGACCAAAGAATACACATGGGAACTTAAGCACTTAAGCTTAACGAAGAGCTTAGATTTGTGGGTATGCAAAACACCTTATACAAGATGTCAAAAACTCAACCATTAATTGACTCAAGTACTAATGGTCATGGAAAAGTAAAAGTATATTTATACAATTAATTAAGGTTTTTAGTTGAGATAAAAAAGTCAATAGCACGAGCGGGATTCGAACCCACGATCTTCGGCTAGATACGCCGCTGCTCAACCACTTGAGCTATCGTGACTTCGACCCTCTCGGACACTAACTTTTCATCTCAACCCCACCTTTTGAATTTTCCCTCCTTTTTGACATTTTTCAAATGTCGTGTAATCGGATTGGATTCTTGACGACAAATGAAATGACTTTTGAAAAATGTCAAAAAGGAGGGAAAATTCAAAAGGTGGGGTTGAGATGGGAAGTTAGTGTCCGAGTGGATCGAGGTCACGATAGCTCAAGTGGTAGAGCAGCGGCGTATCTAGCCGAAGATCGTGGGTTCGAATCCCGCTCGTGCCATTGACTTTTTTATCTCAACTAAAAACCTTAATTAATTGTAATATATTAATTGGTCAAGCGGACCACGAAATTAGTGAATTTAATGATTAAAAATGAAGTATACTTCACTAAAGCTCTCCGTGGCCATTTCATTTGTCGCCGAGAATCCAATCCGATTACACGACATTTGAAAAATGGCAAAAAGGAGGGAAAATTCAAAAGGTGCGATTGAGATGGGAAGTTGGTGTCCGATTTGTTTTTTATCTCAACTAAAAACCTTAATTAATTGTAATATATTAATTGGTTAAACGGACCACGAAATTAGTGAATTTATATTTATACAATTTTCGGATAATCCTCTTGCACTTTGTATAAATTACAAACGGAACAAATCTAAAACAATGCATTTTTTTTCAAAATGGAAAGCCCATTCTATTGACTTTCAAAAATTTGTTATTATAATTAATCCATTTATGTTTTGTGGTAAATTGACCAAGTAAGTTCCTTCTTTCAATTAATTATTCTTTTTTATGTACGGTTTTTGGTTGAGATAAAAAAGTAAGTGTCACGAGCGGGATTCGATCCCACGATCTTCCGCTCAATACGCCGCTGCTCTACCAGTTGAGCTATCGAGAAGTCGCGTAGAGCAGCGGCGTATTTAGCCGAAGGACGTGAGTTCGAATCCCGCTCGTGACACTGACTTTTTTATGACAACCAATACCTTACATAAAGATTAATTAATTGAAAAGAATTTATTTGGTCAATCAGACCACGAAACCTAATCGATTTAATAATCGATATTAATAATAACGTAACAAGATGTATGAATACAAAATATACATTGACAGGCAAAAAATTCCACCCACTTGTAATATAACTTGATTTGTATATATTTTTATATTTTAATCAAAATTTCACGTTTTTTAACGTTTAATAATTGAGTATTTATCTAAAAAAGTAAAAAAAAAGTAAATTGCTGAGGAAAATAAAAATTAAAAAAGACAGACAGATAAAATTTGTTTTAATTTTGTTTTAGATTTTTAATTAACATTTCAATAACGCGTATTTCCTCCTCTTGCCCTTGTCTCGACCACAACTCGGCATTACTATCTACCACTGCGAAAGTCTCTTTGCTGGAGGTTAGCTCATTCTTCACGAAGAGTCCTTTCAAGATGGTGGAGTGTATCAGGAAGTGATGGACGTGCGCTTATTCGTCTTTTGAGGTTATCCCATAAATGTTCAATTGGGTTCAAGTCGGGGCTGGCCAGGCCAAGACTGTTATGCTGTTGAAGGTATGTACTATGCGAGCGACATGTGGACGGCCATTATAGAGCATTAGCATTGGATTGTCGCTGATTTCATCGAAGATAAGCAACGCGTGATGATCCAAAATTTCATCCACTGAGCTACGTTGAAAAGGTTGGCTCTGGAAAAAATTCCAGGCTTCGTACCTTTCATTTCGCCTTCTCCACACTCTTTCACGTCCATCTGGAGATCGTAGAGCAAATCTACACTCATTTGTAAAAAGTACAGCAAACCAATCGTCCAAAGACCAATGGCTGTGTTCTCGAGCAAATGGGAGCTGTGCAACTCCGTGTTTTCTGGTAAATTCTGGTCCTCTTACGGGGCGAAAAACCATCAGTCCATACTGTTTTAATTTCTTCGAGCAGTGCGTTCAGAAATTTGGACACCTCGAACTTCCTGGAGCTGATGAATCGCTTGAACAACTGCATGGTGCCGGTTTCGTAAAATTCTCATAGTCAAAAAGCGTCCCTGTGGTACTGTTACCCTAAGGGTCCATAACCGGGCCTTCTATGGTAGGACCCAATTTCAAGAAAACGTAACGGCATCTCACAGAATTTCGTAGGCAACTCCGTAGCAAAAGCCTCATACCTGATGGAACGTCCATCATCAATAAGTGCCACACCATGCGCAACATCCTCGGCACTAAGTGGCATTTTTAAGTTTAAAAATTGAAATTAAGAAAACAAAGATGAAAACTAAACAGTTTATTGCTTCAGAATACAAATGAAACTGAATATACATTTTAAATTCCGTAAAAAGTAAACATTGAATAATCCTTTATCCTTGTTTTGGATTAAAGATTAAATGTGTTTACCTCGAATTGATATTCCCATTTTAAAACATAGCATAAACAAATATTTATTGATAAAAACAATGAGACTAAGTGCAGAATTTTATTTTATCGAGAAAATGAAAAAAAAAATCAATTGGGTGGAATGTTTGTGTGTATTTTTGAAAAATATATTTTAATTCGCAGCCTGTTTCCTCTTCAACAAACAAAAATCACTTTTCGATATTTCAGGTTCACAAAAAATTTCAGCTAGAAGATATTTAAAAATTATTATAATTTTTTCTTCTTTATTGTTTATTGGTTTATTAATTATACATTAAGAATAAATTGGAAAATTTAACTTAGGGGAAGAATGAAACAATATTTGGATTCTGTGCTGTTCCTTTCCTTCTTTCAATATTATTTTTACATAACTTCCTTAGTCGTGTCGTCCCTTTCCTGTCCCATATCTTCAAGGAAGGAAGGTTCTTTCCTGTCACTTTCATTTCCTATGGGAAAATTTTCAAAATAGGAGATAAGTGCCGTCAACAATAGGAAAGGTGATACGCGGATCGACTTTTGAACTCTTTTCGGGATTATTTAGCCTCAGCGGGGACGAGTATTGCCGGCATTTAGGAGATCGGATTTCAACCGTGAGCACCCAGCCTCAGCCAATTTACAATAGAGAAAGACATTGACTTCCAAAGGTATTTTTTGAAACTTTTTATTATATTTTATGTATCTGATATATTTCAGACCTCATTCTTGCACTTGTTTATTGCACAAATTTTTTTTTAGATCGTCGCAGTATTTTTAATCGCTATTTTTAAAAGAATTTTTTCGTTTTTGCCTTTGATATATTTTATATATATCATATAATTGAATATTTTAATAAGTGAATATTTTATTCAAAAGAGGATACCTCACTCACTCACTTCCTCACTCAAGCTCTTTATATCGATATATTTAGTAATTGTTTTTATATCTTTCCCCTAGCTTATTTTCTACTCATCTTTATATTTTCATTTATTTCTTTAATTGTTCTCTTTTAGTTTTACATTTTCTCTAGTTTCATACCTCTTTTCTCTCTCTCCTTCCCTCTCACGCACTCACTCACTCATTCGCTCGCTCACTCACTCCCCTAGCTATCTCCCTCCCTCTCACTCACTCACTCTCCCTCCCCTCACTCTCTCCCTCCCCTCACTCTCTCCTTCCCTCTCACTCACTCACTCACTCATTCGCTCTCTCACTCACTCCCCCTCGCTATCTCCCTCCCTCTCACTCACTCACTCACTCACTGTCTCTCTCACTCTCTCTCACTCATTCACTCGCTCACTCTCTCTCACTCGCTCACTCTCTCTCTCACTCGCTCACTCTCTCTCACTCGCTCACTCTCTCTCACTCACTCACTCACTCTCCCTCCCCTCACTCTCTCCTTCCGTCTCACTCACTCACTGACTCTCACTCACTCACTCGCTCACTCTCCCTCCCCTCACTCTCTCCTTCCGTCTCACTCACTCACTCATTCTCACTCACTCACTCTCTCTCTCTCTCTCACTCACTCCCTCTCTCTCACTCTCCATATTTCTATCTTCAGTAATTTTTTATACCTTCCTCTTATTAGAATATTTATATTTTATTATTATACGATATTGTTCCTATTACTTATTATATTTATTAGACTATTTTCTACCCAGATTTATATCTTCATTTATAACCATATTTCTTCTCTTTTTCCCTTTTTCCTATTTCTTTTTTACCATCTCTTTTACCATTTTTTTGGTTCTGTTTCTCTTCTCCCTTGTTCTCCTTCTCACCCTCTATATCTTTATTAATTTTTAAAACTTCCCCCTAGCTTATTTTTCTATTCATATTTATATCTTTATTTCTCTGTCTAGTTCTTCTCTTTTTTCTATTTCTTCTTTATCTTTTCATTCAGTTTCAGTTCTTTCTTTCTCAACCCCCCCCCTCTTTCTCTCTCATTCTCACTCTCCATAGTTTTCTCCTTAGTAATTTTTATATCTTTCTTCTTAACTTATTTTCTATTCATATTTATATCTTCATTTCTCTCCCTAATTCTTCCCTTTTTCCAGTACTTCTTTTTTACTCTTTCCATTCGCCTCTCTCTCTCTCCTCCATCTCTCTCATTCTGTTTCTCTATATCTGTATCTTTAGTAATTTTTATACCTTTCTTCACAGCTTATTTTCTATCCATATTTATATTTTCATTTCTCAATCTAATTCTTATCTTTTTCCCCACTAATCCTTTTTTATCCTTTCACTCAGTTCTCTCTCTCTTTCTCACTTTCTCTCACTTTTCCTTCCTCTTGGTCTTTTCTTATCTCCCTTTTTCTTTTTTTTAGCCACGAGATCGGAAATAAGTTAAATAATATTGACAATAATCATATTTTTACTGATTGATTTTCTGGTTTGTCCAAAATTTGAACAAACCTTCGACCACATCACCACTCTTTTCGCCAGACCTTCAGACCAAAAAAATTCAAGATTACCCCATTTTTTAGGCGAAATCTTTCACCAATGCCGAAATGGACCGTCGCCAAGGTGGTCCGGATAGAGATTGACACCTATCCTACATATTGGGAATATTCCGACCTTAGACAAGACAAAACCAGTTCCAGCACATACGCGTTCAAAAACCTTTCTCAGAGATAATGGGCCAGTTTTGATCTTAAAGGTCAGCTAGGATAAGGACGTCTATAAATAAATTTACTTTCTTTTGTTGACATTCTGCGAACACCCTGCCTACAAGAAAGAAAAGACATGCAGTAATGTTTTTTCGGCAAATTTAATCACTTTTAGATTATGACAGATCATTATTGCTGATTTATTCCTAGATGTAATACTAAATTCTAATCTGAAAGGGAAAATTAAATTAATTTAAAAAAAATTCTATATGCAAAATTTATCTCATGGCCATGTAGGTCAAGTTATTATTAAATATTTCATCATATATAAAACATTATTATTCAACTGTATTTGGATTTTGGAAGCTGCCATAAAATTAATTAATTAATCAAACTAATTTATACATATTATATACAAATTTTTAGACTGGTCTAGTGTTGGTTCATGAAAAAATTATATAATAAAAAAACTGTTGTGATAAAACAAATATAGAACAGATTTAGACATTTATCTATTTATATACAAAATAAAAAAAGCAAACAACAAAAAATCGATCAAACCTTGACTGAGATCATGAGATATTTCTTAAGATAGGACTTTCGTTCATGAACTTATCTTTGCTCTTGCAATATTTATAAACAGTTTATACAACTATTGTGAAATTCTTCGATTTGGATTTGTGTCTCTACACTTTGTACATATCCTTATTATTCCTTGACTCCACACCATCATAACTTGGGAAAAACTATCGTACGTTATGCATATTTTTTTTTATTATTATTTTTATTATTATTATTATTTTTATTATTATTATTATTTTTTTTAAGAGTAGGAAGAGAAAATAGAGAAATTAAGATATGTGGATGTGTTGAAAAATAAGATAGAGAATGCTGGAATTAGCTTCAATTAGCTGGAAGACTTACTCTCATATGTCAAAAAATAAGTGAAGCTAACCCCTAACCATTCCTAACCATAATAAACTAATGGAAATAAAAATATAAGCTAATAGCCCTCTGCTTTTTGAACCTTCTGTAAAGAGGAAAAAGTTTTCGCACACCTAAGAATAGGACATTGTAGAACTACCCATGGATTCCATGGGGGAAAGGAGGCTCCAATTGATCCAAACACTTTAGAATTTACTTCTTGAGGACATCCTAACATTTTTAATTTGAGATGGAGAAGAACTGTTGAATAAAGGATGACATCAAAAACCAAGAAATTAAGAGATTTTTTTTTTTCAGAAAGCGAATCATAAAGAAATGGCACAATACTCATTACTATCGGCTGTGGCTCTTAACTTATTTTTATATTCGGAAGCTAGTTTAGAAAGTAATTTCACCTATGATAGTACATCAATTTTAGGTACTTTATTATTATTTTTTTTTTTTAAATATTGTCTGCTATTTGTTATTGTTAAGTATACTTTTTAATTGTTGTCTGTTTCTAGATAGTAACAAAGAATTGAACTCTACAAATTCCGTCCCTCACTTTGTACAAATCTCTTTCCCAGGAGGGGTGGTTCTGTCAACTGTGATAACTCTGATCATCGTATCATACCTGTTTTTATTTCTAGTCAAAGTCTGTGATTGTTATTTTATATCGACGATTAAAGTCATAGGAAGAAGTAAGAATTAAAAAAAAAAAATTATAAATTTTTTTGTTACATTTTTTTTTTCTCTTCAGAGATCGGACTTTCTTCAGATGTCGCCGGAGCGACACTCATGGCTGCGGCCGTCTCCTCGCCTGACTTGTTTATGAATATCATAGGCACGTTCGTGACGGAAGGGGACATCGGGATCGGTACCATAGTCGGCTGCGGCCTTTTTAACACCCTCGCAGTACCAGCGCTGTGCATTTTATTGACTTCGCAAAACGTAATTTGAAATCATGCCGATGTGATTAAATTTCCCTTCTCATTTGTTTAAATTTTCAGACGATCCGGCTGAACGCTTGGGCGCTAACGAGAGACACAATATTCTACTGCACATCACTACTAATTTTAACTATTTCATTGACCGATAACATGATTGCATGGCATGAAGGACTTATACTTGTTTCAATATACCTATTATACCTTTTATGTAAGCAGAAAATAATAATTTAAAAAATTTTTTTTTTAATTCTTTAATATTTCAGTTTTGAGTATAAATACACTTTTACGGACAAAAACTGAAGATTTGCTCAATTACTGTATAAAGAATACATCAGAGGATCGTGAGACAAAAATTCCAATCCTCCTTAAATCACGTTAGTATTTTTTCTTTGTTCAATCATAACACCCAGTCATAATTTTTTTTCCTCCCAGATTCAATACTATCATATGGTGGAGATGATGATACATGCTCAGAATTTTCTGAAGATGATGGTAAGCATGTGATAGTTTAATGGTAATCGTAGAAAATGTATTTTTTTATTATTTTATCAGCGATTCCATGGTGGAAGGTGCTTTCACGAATTATTACTTTCCCTATTGATACTATCCTACGAGCAACCGTGCCGTTGCCACATAAGGAAGTCTGCGGATACAAGCTGTATCCAGTTACATTCGTAATCTGCCTCGTATGGATTGGAATCATATCGTACGTCGTCGCTTGGATGATCACCATTGCAGGTACTTATTTATGATGTCTATAAATGATTTAATTACAATAATATACTCACAGCATAATTGCTTTAAACTTAAAAATAGTAGCCAGATTGTATGTAAAAACAAATTTTCATGATGATAGGGTGATTATTTAATGTCTACAGTGAAGCAACTAGGTTTTTCTGACTCCTTTGTCATCCTTTACGATTTGATGTAAAGTTTTACCACCATCCTCATTGTTCATGTTGACAATTTTCCAGGCTTCAACTTGGAAGCCCTTGTTTTGCTTTTTCGAGTCTGAGAGATTGCTCTTTGGTGTCGTTTTTTTCTGATCAAAGTTTTGGAAGTACGACTGTGGCTTGTGGTCTTTCTCTACGACGTGCAGCTTCCCAGGATGTTCAATTTTTATCTAGGTTGTACTCAAGCCTCTAGGAAATCTGCAAAGTTAATGGCTAACAATTTTTTTTTATTGGTGGCTAGTTTTATATTTATTTCAACATCCTCTGTTTTCCTTAGCAGCACTCCTGACTCACATTTAATTGCTCAGGAGTGTTTGTATGCACATTCGAGGAATGATGCATACATTTCTGTGAAGTTCACTAATTTCGTGGTCCGCTTGACCAATTAATATATTACAATTAATTAAGGTTTTTAGTTGAGATAAAAAGTCAATGGCATGAGTGGGATTCAAACCCACGATCTTTGGCTAGATACGACGGCGTATCTAGCCAAAGATCGTGGGTTTGAATCCCGCTCGTGCCATTGACTTTTTTTATCCCAACTAAAAACCTTAATTAATTGTAATTTCTGTGAAGGTTCTTCGAATTTTTGGTCCTTTTCCAGAGGATTCCCATTTCCTGTCTCTTTGCTGATGGTCTTCTGCTAAGTTGCTGTTCTGACAGTGTTATTGCCTTTTCTTTACTATGTTACTGTGCCCTCACCTCTTGAAGGCATGGATAGCAGATTTTTTTTCTCTCTCGAATTAGAGAACCTCTTTAGTCCCTTACATTTTGCTCATTTCAGCTCCATCATGTTCAGGAGCAATTTTTCCTTGTTGCTTGTCTTTTCCTAAGACCTTACAGCCTCTACTTTTTTTTTGGGGGGGGGGGAGTCTGTAAATTTCCACGACTAGGGTTTTTCAAAGTCAACCCCAACAGATTTCTTTGTAAAAACAGAGATCGACTCGTATCTGGTGTTCGCTTATTTCCATCTAACCTTGGCTAAGCTGTTCCAGCTTGGTTTGGGGGATGTAGACTAGGTTAGATAGTATGGAATCAGTAAAAAAGTGTGAGGAGTTCCAAAGCCCCTTCTGATACTGAAATACTGATCCTTTCAACTCCTCAGGGAGAAATAATCTTTCAATTGATGCAAGGCATGTGCTCAAAATTGAGTGTTGAAAGCTTTAAAACGCTTCACATCTGCTTCATGGAATAACATTGAATCATAATGTACAACCTAACCTAAGAGTATTCCCTGTTAATGAGAAGTCGTTTTCTTTCTTACATTAAAACAAAATGCAAGATCATTCCCCAAAATTGTTTTTTTGAAGGCCTTAAAATGCTTTGCACTCATATATTTTCTCCACTGCATGGAATAACATTGAATCAAGATGTGAAACTTAACCTAAGCGCACTCCCTATTAATGAGAAGGCTTTTTCTTTCTTAAATTAAAACAAAATGCAAGATAAGTCCCCAAAATTGTTTTTTTGAAGGTCTTAAAATGCTTCGCACTCATATTTTCTCCATTTCATGAAATAACATTGAATCGTGATTTACAACCTAACCTAAGCTCAAGTGCGTTCCCTGGCAATGAAAAGTCTTTTTCTTTCTTAGATTAAAACAAAATGCAAGATCAGTCCTCAAAATTGTATTTTTTTTTTTGAAGGCCTTAAAATGCTTTGCACTCATATATTTTCTCCATTTCATGGAATAACATTGAATTGTTTAGAAATGTGTCGTGATTAGTGACCGTTAATCGATAATTATTCAGAAATCGTGACATGCGTCTGGTGTGATGTAGATTTCAGAAAAACATTTTCTTAATCGTGCCAACGTTTCGATCTTTATTGAGATCATCTTCAGGGCGTGGGATTTACAAACATTGTTGTTAACATTGTTACAAACATCGGTCTTACATCCCAATATCTGGACAAGAGAGTAAAGCAACATATCTATGATTGCAGAAAACCCAAGCAAAATCTTACAGCACTTGCTACCCACCATTTTGAACACAAACACAATTTCGATTTCAACAATCCAAAAATATTACACACAAACAAAACAAACATAAACGTAATTTTTTAGAAATGGTTTATATCAACAGAGATAAACACAGCAACAATTGATATATGTATGTTATCTATATTGAATGTGATTAATGATATTGGCGTAGCTGCAACTGAGTTAACATGTATCTCTTCTGTAATTGTTGCTGTGTTTATCTCTGTTGATATAAACCATTTCTAAAAAATTACGTTTATGTTTGTTTTGTTCTGTGTGTAATATTTTTGGATTTTTGAAGTCGAAATTGTGTTTGTGTTCAAAATGGTGGGTAGCGAGTGCTGTAGGATTTTGCTTGGGTTTTCTGCAATCATAGATATGTTGCTTTACTCTCTTGTCCAGATATTGGGATGTAAGACCGATGTTTGTAACAATGTTAACAACAATGTTTGTAAATCCCACACCCTGAAGATGATCTCAATAAAGACTGAAACGTTGGCACGATAAAGAAAATGTTTTTCTGAAACCTGCATCACACCAGATCGCATCTCACGATTTCTGAATAATTATTGAATTGTGATTTACGACCTAACCTAAGCAGCGCATCACCTAGTAATGCGAAGTCTTTTCTTTCTTAGATGCCAGATCTGTACCCAAAAATGACTTTATTTTCTTTTTAATGCCTTTTTTTATAAGACAAGATAAGGTCTTCCTAAGTGTACAAATCCTTTTAAAAATGCAAAGCATTTTAGCAAAACTTTTAGAGAACCATTTCTCCAATTATAACAATAAGTTAATTTTGTTTGATTATCCTTCAGGTTTTGAGCTGAATATATCGGATTCTTTTCTTGGTCTTACATTTATTGCAATCGGTATGGGAGTTCCTGAAGCAGCATCAAGTGTCATTGTAGCAAGGAGAGGTAAAAAAGAAATAAAAAGCCTAGTAATTTCAAAACTTGTATATCACATTTTATTTTGTACAGTACTAATTATTTATTTTACATCGATCAAAAAATGAAAATGTGTCTAAAAAACAGGAGATGGAGCAATGGCACTTTCAAACAGTATGGGCTCGAGCATTTTTGATACGCTCGTCTGCCTCGGTGTACCATGGCTATTGCGAGCGGGATTCAGTAAGGAGCACAGTGTGCATATTGGTTCAAGGGGTATAGCCTACACGTCAGTGCTCCTTATCGTTTCCATTATCGTTTTATACTGTTCAGCCGTGTTCAGCAAATTCCGACTCAATAGAACTGTAAATATAAACTGTTTTGCGATTTATTTTTATTTTTTAACGATTATGTGATTTTCAGGTTGGCTATGTTTGTCTGTTCGTCTACATTGTATTAGCAGTACTCTCCGCTCTAATTGAGATGAACGTATTCTTCAAAGAAAACGACTGAATCTGCGACTAGTCGGGTTGTCTATCGCATCTACGGTCGATTCCTTTAAATAAAAAAGAAACTGTACAAACACATTTTCGTTTTCTTTCAATCTACCTAGAAAAAAGGATTTACATCATAATTCCATAATAGATTAACTATTTAAAAAAAAAGGTGATACTTTACAATCAAATTATGTTAAAATACACAAAACATACATTAAAGCTTGTCGCGAATAACAAAAACAAAAATATAAATAAAACAATGAACAATGGTCTGTTATAATGGAAAATCAAATTTAAAATGTATGCAACCCATTTGTGGGAAAAGTGTCGCTTCATAATCCATTTTCAATCCACAGGTTACGCTGTAAAAAAAAAATTTTTTTAAACATAAAGATTTACAATATATTTATTTATTAAATATTTAAATACCTAGATGGTTTACGGTTGAAGTAGACGCCTTGTTTAGTCCCGATGTCCCATTTTTCATTTTCATCAATCCCGGTGCTTATCACCTCGGAACCGAAGTCCCAATCGGCCCAGAGCGCTACGCCGTGGCACGAGCCTTCACGGGTGAATTCAATCTCTCCACTATCCAATATTTGACTTTCGGGCGAATCCGCATTGAGGTCGAACTCCATGAGCGGTTTCGGCTTGGACAAACACACCCCTGGGTACTCCCAAAGCGGTTGGACGTCAACATCCGGGCAGCTTCTGTCGCTGGAATTCTTTTGAAAAAAAAAAAAAAAAATTCTAACCTGAAAATTTACACTCAAAAGAAAAGAAATGCGAAACAATAAATTTGAGACCTGTATCAGTCTGTCGAACGAGTCCATCCTAAATCCCTCAACTTTTCCCAAAGGGAGTTTAATCTTATGCAAATTATCAAACTGCATCGGCACCCCCATGATACGTAGCTTGGAAGGTAAACATTTAGCATTCGGGGCGAGTCTTTTGGACAAATACCAACACCTCGCTCCATCCCAAGGAAATATGGAATCTGTAAAGTACGGCTCTGATACGACATAATCGACCTAAAATCATTGCAAATATGAATTAATAAAAATATACATTATATGAAAAAAATTAAACATACCTCTCCGATATTTGCCTTGTAGCTATCTAGCAATTCAATGACATCCGTTAGACCGTTAGACTCGATGATAGATTTCATGACTTTAAAAGAAAATATATTGTCCTGAATACTGATCACCTGAAATATTAAAATTTAGCTATGATTTTTTTTTTTAAATGAAATGAAAGATCTGACTTTTTTAGCGCCTAATTTAGCCGCAGCGATCGGCAACAAGGAAATATCACCTAGATACAATATTGTCTTTCCTGTCGGCAATTTTCTAAGGACGTTGACATATTTTTTCCATTTTAATTTGTCATTCATCCAATAAAGCCTAGTCCTCGAGGTTCTCATGTGCAACCTACAGTTGCAAGCTGGCCATGACAGATCTGGTTTTTTCATGCTTGACGGAAAAGAAACAAATTAATAAAATTAAAATAAAATAAATATTAAAAAAATGTTTTACCAGTCTTTTTGAATGTGAAAAGCGTGGGAGAATTGGTCGTGCTGGGCGTAAAGTTTGACCTGTTCACCCTTGGCCACTTCGACACTAGTCGGAAGGTGGTATACGGCCTGCATCCAATGGTCTCGCCATGGCGTCTCCTCGATGAAAGACGGCGCACAAGAAATGACCGTCTCGCCCTCCTGATCCATGTCCAACGTCCAGTACATTCCGATTGAATCGATCCGCCCATCCTGAACGCACTTAAAGTCCACCTCTTGAAGCCGATTATGCTCAATTTTTTTATAAAAATCAAAACTGAAATAGATTTTTTTTAATATAAAAAAATTCAATTTTGAGTTATTATTTGACCGACTTGAAAACATGAACAGGTTCGGACATGATTTTTATTTCGTTCTTCGGCACTTGGCTGAGCTGAAGGTCATGCACGCCTGCCGTCCCTGTGCAAGAGACAATATTCCTCGGGATTTTTATCGGATCCGGGTCCAAAGGGACGAACTCGGGGATTCGGTTGCAAGAAGCCAAAAGCTCGCTCTGAAGAGCGACAGCGTACAATTTACTCGTCCATGGAACAATGATTGCATCTTTCTGTTAAAAAAAATTAAATAGAAAAAACAAAAAAAGAAAAAAGAACAACAGACCTCAAGAAGGTGTTCGTTGGCATGATTGAAAGTATCGACAGCTCCTTCTCCTATCAGTTCAGTGTCGAATACCTCAGTGATGAGTATATTCGCCCTGAACTCCATATCCAGGCCAGGGCCAACCTTCAATTCCGTCGATCTTTTATGAACCACTTTAATATTGTACGACAGACAGTTGTCTTCTATGACTCTCCTCGCAACCTTGGCTATTGGCAAAAATGCCTGTAAAAAATCCCTCACTTAACAAAACAATTAAATATAGCACAAGATTATTTTTGTCTTAAAAATAATAAATATAGAGAATTTTTTTTAAAAGGATTGTTTAAATACACTGATAGGCAAAAAATTCTACCCAATTTATTTCTTTATTTTCTCAATAAAAGAAAATTCTGCACTTAATTTGTCTCATCGTTTTTATCAATAAATATTTGTTTATGTTATGTTTTAAATTGGGAATATCAATTAAATACACTTAATCCTTAAACCAAAACAAGGATAAAGGATTTTTCAATGTTTAATTTTTATGGAATTTAAAATGTTTATTCAGTCTCATTTGAATTCTGAAGCGGTAAAATGATTAGTTTTTCATTTTTGTTATTTTAATTTCACTTTTCAAACTTAAAAATGCCGCTTAGTGGCAAGGATGTTGTGCGTGGTGTGGCACTTTTTGATGATGGACGTTCCTTCATTGAAGCGGCTATTGCCATCGGAGTTTCCTATGAAATTCTGCGAGACGCCGTTAGACGTTTTCCAGAAACTGGGTGTTACCATAGAAGGCCCGGTCCTGGACGGCATAGGGCAGTGGTCGGCAAACCGCGGCTCTTTGACTTCTTGGCTGCGGCTCTTTCACTAAATGTTTAGTGCAGACACGGAGCGAAAAGTATGACAGGTGCAAGAAATGGGATTGTCGCTATTTTTAAATAAAAAAATAATCATGAGATACTTACCTACCATTGTATTATCCATCAGGAAGCACTATGTGTGCAGACATTTCCTGAAGAAATTTGCTCAGCAGTTCAAAGACTTTAGAAAACAAAGCGACGCTAGCCATTGTTAAAAAAACCTCTCAATGCCACGGTAACAGAAATTAATTTTTTGCCCTTTAATAGTGTTATTGGCAGCTTTGAAATACAGTTGCTGGATTTAAAAAATAAAGAATTCTGGAGCTCAAAATTTGAGCGTCTTTAAACCGATTTACAGCTATTGGAGAAAAATAAATGTGAATTAAGTTTACAGCACAAATGGTCTGCTTTGAAAGATCTGGCGAGGGAAGGTATGTTGATTTTTAACACATGGATGATGAGATCAACTGAAGAAATGTTCTTTCCTTATTTTTGTTTACATATTTATGTGAACAATCATTTTCAAGCATGAACTTTATCAAGTATAGATTAAGAAATCGGCTTATCGATGAGAACTTGGAATCGTGCCTAAAATTAAAAAACAACATACAAAACTGACTTACCCCTACTTTCCAGGGAAATGCAAGGCCTTTGTTCATATTAGTGGAGTATTTGTAGTTTTTTTAAGGATACTGTAAGCCGGTCCCCGTCTTAGTGATAAGCTTTAGTTGTTAAAATAAGAACAAAACAGGGTAAACGATGAAAGGGAACAAAGGTTGCAACTCTGAAGGGGCGACCACTCAGACGGGAACGATGTGACGTCCCCCTCAAATCTGTCAAACGTAGCTTGGAAATGGTTACCCAGGTAGACAGATAGATAAGAACATCGAAGTGTGTGACAGACCCAGGCTGGACCCACGTCTTGTTTCCCAGGAACCTGGAGAACATAAGGTAGCAATAGCTGGACATCCGATCAAATAAATAACTATCGTCTAGTTATTTAATGCTGAAGGGTTGTCACACGGTCAAAAATCTCTAGCCACGGGGGACATCATAAATCGAGGTCGCATCAACCCCGTGCTCGACACCGGTCTTCGCCGGCCCACCCACGGCGTGGCAACTCCCCCAACTTTTGAGTTTCCTTTCCACCCCTACTCCGGGAGAGACCTGGTATAAAAGGGATGACTGGGAAATCTAAAGGGAGTCAAAATCAAAGACTCGCCCCCTAGGCAGTCAAGGTCAAGGACCGGGAGAGAAGCAGCCACACTCCGTCTGGGATTCAAGGCAGAGGATATGCATGTGATTGGGTTTGTATATAGGAGTATGTATGTATTTATTGTATGAGTGAGTGTGAGAATGACTAGTTTTAGGTAACGTAAGGGCACCGAAATGACCAAAGAAGTCGATGGCGCCCGACTAGAGCCCAGCCTCGGAGTCGCTCAGGCACCAAGGTGGGTGACTCCCCCTGATTTATCAGGGAGAGGACAGAGGCCTCCTAGGAGGTCTCGTAATTCTAATTTTTCTAATCTGTTATATAAAATATTATATATTTTTAAATAGGCTATATACATATAGTTTATTGTATATTATTATTTTTCAATTAATTAATCTATATTTAAGGTATTGGTTAAGATAAAAAAGTCAATGGCACGAACAGGATTCGAACCCACGATCTTCGGCTTGATACGCCGCTGCTCTACCACTTGAGCAATCGTGACCTCGATCCACTTGGACACTAACTTCCTATCTCAACCCCACCTTTTGAACATTCCCTCCTTTTTGCCATTTTTCAAATGTCCTGTAATCGGATTGGATTCTCGACGACAAATGAAATGACATTTGAAAAATGGCAAAAAGGAGGGAAAATTCAAAAGGTGGGGTTGAGATGGGAAGTTAGAGTCCGAGTGGATTCGAATTCCGCTCATGCCATTGAATTTTTTATCTCTACTAAAAACCTTAATTAAACGTAATATATTAATTGGTCAAGCGGGCCACGAAATTAGTTGAGTTTGCCGACCACTGCCCTAGGGTAACATAACAACAGGGACATTTTTTTAACTGGGAATTTTGTGAAACCGGCACCTCAAGCGATTGATTCATCAGCTCCAGGAAGTTCGAGGTGTCTAAATTTCTGAATGCACTGCTCGATGAAGATTAAATCAGTATGGACTGATGTGGTTTTTCTCCCTGTAAGATGACCAGAACTGACCAGAACATCCAGAGTTGCACGGCTCGCATTTGCTCGAGAACACAGTTGGTCTTTAGATGATTGGTCTGCTATACGTTTTACAGATGAGTGTAGATTTGCTCTACCATCTCCAGATGGATGTGAAAGAGTGTGGAGAAGGCGAAATGAAAGCTATGAAGCCTGTAGTTTTTCCCAGAGCCGACCTTTTCAACATAGCTCAGTGATGGTGTGGACAGGAATTTTAATGGAGAGTTGCAGAGGTGGTTGTTGTTCGTGGAGGGTCTTTGACTGGCACTCGCTATGAGGATGAAATACTGAAACAACACGTCTATCCTCAATGAAATCAGCGGCAATCCTAACCTAATGCATGATAATGCTCGTCCACATGTCGCTCGCATAGTACATACCTTCAACAGCATAACAGTCTTAGCCTGGCCAGAGCCCCGACTTGAACCCCATTGAACATTTATGGGATAACCTCAAAAGATAAATAAGCACTTCCTGATACACTCCACGACCTTGAAAGATCTCTTCTTAAAGAATGGGCTAACCTCCAGCAAAGAGACTTTTCCAAACTGGTAAAAAGTATGCTGAGGAGTCTTCGAGATGTAATTAAGGCAAGAGGAGGAAATACGCGATATTGAAATGTTAATTAAACATCTAAAACAAAATTAAAACAAATTTCATCTGTCTTTTTTTAATTATTATTTTCCTCAGCAATTTACTTTTTTTTTTTACTTTTTTAGATAAAGATTCAATTATTAAAAATTAAAAAACGTGAAACTTTGATTAATATATAAAAATATATACAAATCAAGTTATATTACAAGTGGGTGGAATTTTTTTGCCTGTCAGTGTATATTTTGTATTCATACATCTCATTGTGTAATTATTAATATTGATTATTTTGAAGCGATATTATATTGCCAAATGTCTGTACTTTTCCATCTTTTTTTTTATTTTTCATTTTCGTTAGCAATTTACATTTTTACTTTTTTGGATGAAGACTCAAAAACGTTATAAAACCTGAAACTTTGATTAATATATACAAATCAAGTTGTATTATAAGTGGGTGTAATTTTTTGCTGTTCAGTTTATTTAGTGTAAAGGGTGTCGGTGGCAGCAATGTTTGAGGTGTTGACACGCAACCATTATTTTAAGTTAAAGGTCCCTGGTTCGAATCCAGGAGCCCTGCATTTTTTTCCGGCACCCCATGGCTTCATACAACATAATTGAAATACCCTCGTAGAAAAATTTATATTTACTTCACAAGCGACGATCGAATCGGCTTTGCAGTTGGCGGCCATCATACTCAAAAGTCCAGTACCGGTACCGATGTCTAAAATGTTCGCTTTCTGCCCCATGGAATGTTTCTTTTCAATCGCCTTTTTGAGGGCTGCATAATACTTTTTGTTCTGAAATAAAGACAGTTTAGAGATTGTTTAAAAAAACTGGTTGAATTTAAAGCGTACCCTATCGGTGTCATGGAGCATGTCAGCGTACATGGAACATGCGATTTCCTGATGGTAGTCGTAGTTCTCGTCCATCAGCTGCCAGCCGATGTAGCCAGTCAGCGGGTTGATCTTCTGCACGAACGTGTTTCCTCCTTCGACTTTCATCGTAGACTCAGCCAACGTCAAAAACTGCTTAATTTACCTGTTTAAATCCCTATGACTCTATTGAAATCCCCTTTAGGGTAACTTCTGGCCTTTTAAAGGAAAAGTGGACGAGCTCACCTTTTGAAACTGTCTCAGGGATATTCTCATTCCACGTGGTTAGCCTTTTTTTGACGTGCCTAGGTTTTTTTTTTTAAGGCTTAACTTGAGGTGTCCAAAAAGTCCAAGTTTACACACAAACAACCACCTCCAAGTCCTAAACTCCTAATAACTTCGAAACCTTCCTTTAATTTCCATACAGTCACGTTTTTTAAGTCTGAAACTATTTTCCCCCAAAATAATTATCCCCCGAGCTTAAAAACGTTTAAAATAATTCAAGTTAGCTAAAAATCAAGCTTAAAAATTAAAATAAACTTGTTTCAGAGAAATGTTTTCCATCCCTGCCTTTTCTTTTCCGTTATCAATTTGATATATTTTTGTTGCAGAATGTACTGGAAAATTCAAAAATAATAATGGAAATTAGTAAGAAGGAATAAATGACATTTATATATCACCTAATTTTAATATTTGTCGTTTATTTATTTTGCTATTAACTGTTATTTATGCCATGTTAAAAAGAATAATAATAGAACATAAAAAAATCAATAATAGAGGGAAAAAAACAGCCACTCTACTCCAATTGAAATCTACACTTTTCAAAACTTATTTTATTTGTTATGCAATTACTTTGTTATTAACTGTCTATTTATGTCAGATTGTACATTAATAACATATAAAATACAAAAATGTCAGCTATTATGAAAATAAAGCAAGCAGGAATAAATCAGCCATGTCATAACTCATTGATACTTGCAAATTCTGAAAATTTTTATGATTGTCAATGATTTTATTTTGTTATGAACTGCTTATTTAGACCAAAGTGAACATTAATAGCATATAAAGTTCAAAATACAATGAAAAATTGAATAAAATGCAAGCAAAATTGAACAAGCCTTGTCCGACCTCATTGCTATATGCAAATTATGATTTTTTTAAAGTTTGATAACAATTTATTTTGTCATAGACTGCTTATTTAGACCAAAGTGAACATTAATAGCATAGAAAGTTCAAAATACCAATGAAAAATTCAACTATAATGGATAAAATGGAACCAGAAATAAACCAGCCTTGTCCTACCTCATTGCTATATGAAAATGATAAATTATTGTGTTTGTTAGCTATTTATTTTGTCATAAACTGATATGTAGACCACATTGAACATAATTAGCATGGAAAGTACAAAATAAAACCAAAAAATTCAACTATAATGAATAAAATGGAACCAGAAATAAACAAGCCTTGTCGTACCACTTTCCTTTCTGCAAATTTTGAATTGTTTTATGTTTGGGAACTATTTTATTTTGATATAAACTGCTTGTTTAGAGGAAATTGAACATTAATAGCATGCAAAGTTCAAAATATAAACAAAAAATTCAACTATAATGAATAAAATGGAACCAGAAATAAATTAGCGTTGTCCTACCTCATTGCTATATGCAAATGATAAATTATTCTGTTTGTTAGCTATTTATTTTGTTATAAACTGCTTGTTTAGATGAAATTGAACATTAATAGCATGCAAAGTTCAAAATATAAACAAAAAATTCAACTATAATTGATAAAATGGAACCAGAAATAAACAAGCCTTGTCGTACCACTTTCCTTTCTGCAAATTTTGAATTGTTTTATGATTGGGAACTATTTTATTTTGATATAAACTGCTTGTTTAGATGAAATTGAACATTAATAGCATGCAAAGTTCAAAATATAAACAAAAAATTCAACTATAATAAATAAAATGCAAGCAGACATAAATCACACTTGAAGTGCACAATAGATATTTGCAAATTATAAAAAATATTATTTTCTTTTGTTATGACCTGCTTATATGGACAACATTGCACATTGAGAGCATAGAAAGTACAAAATACAAACAAATAATTAAATTATAATGAATAAAATGCAAGAAGAAGTAAATCACACTTGTCCTACCTCATTGCTATATGGCAATTATTATTTATTTTATGTTTGTTAACTTTATTTTGTCATTGACGCTTCTTTAGACCAAAAGGAAGATAAATAGCATAGGAAGTACAAAATACAAACAAAAATTTAATCTAAAATGAATAAAATGCAAGCAGAAATTAACCAGCCTTGTCATACCTCTTTCCTTTTGGCAATTTTTTGTTTTTCTCTACTATATTATTATGTTATGAACTGCTTATGTAGACCACATTTAACATTAATAGCATAGAAAGTATAAAATACAACCAACAATTTCAACTATAATGAATATAATGGAACCAGAAATAAACACGCCTTGACTTAACTCTTTGTTATTTGCAAATTTTGAATTGTTTTATGTTTGTCAACTATTTTATTTTGGTATAAACTGCTCATGTACACCCAAATGAACATAAATAGCATAGAAAGTAGAAAATANTATTTTTTGTGTGTCCATCTTTATTTGTTACCTACCTCTTGTTACATCTCTCATTTTCTTTTTAATTTATTCTCTCTCTCTGTCTTCTTCTCTTTTAATGTGTCTCTCACATACACTCTCTCTCGTCCATTTTTACTATTTTGACTACTCCTCTTGTAGATTCACTCTGTTGGGGTTATAAATAAATACATTACTCTATTTTTCTCTTTCTCTCTCCCTCACCTCTCTCTCATTTTTTCATTTCACTTTCTCTACCAAAAACAGATCCGATTTTTCTGGATCCAGACACATTACAGAGATTGACAAATCAGCTGTGGTCGTCTTCCTTCTTCCTTTTTAGTACTTTTCAATCTTTCGACAATTATCATCTCCCATCTGTTCGAAAATTGAACCCAGCCCTTTAACAAGTAAATTCAAACCATCCGGGCCTTCGAAAAAGCTCAAGAGAACCCAGATTATCTTTTAAATCTAAGTGGGTGAATATTTATATTTCTAGTCACTATTTTAGTGACACACTGGTCTATGCATAAGAATGTATTTTAAAATAATATGAAATTTGTTGAAAAGAAGAAATATTTGTCTTATATTCATTCTTTCATGTTCATCTAGTTATTACTGATAATTTTATTTTAAAAAACTAAAAAACCAACTGTTCTGTCTTAATTATGTTTATTAGACTAGATAAAAAAATGAAGCTTATTAAAGATTGGCTTTTTTTTTTAAATTGTGGAGTTGAAATATTAAAAGTTTAGCAACATTAAAAATTTTCACTAATAAAAAATTAGAGTTTTAGAGATAAATATTGTACAAATTTAACTGATAATGTTCTATATATTCCGTTATTTTTTATTTTTCAGCTGGTGTTATCGTGTGGGTTTTCGTTATAAAGTAGTTTAAATAATTTTGATCGATAATTTTTATAATGGTGGCAAATAAAAACAATAAATTGTAGTTGTTGATATTTAAAAAAAATATTTTTCCATATGATAGTCGAGCCTTTTTAATTTGTAATTAAGATATTATAGCTTTTGAATTTGAGGGCGTCAATGCTGGCAGGCTAGCATGATGCAACCCACCCCAACATTCTGCCTACTGAAAGTTTCAATTTTTAAAATTACTTATTAAAACTTGAAATTTAATAAAATAAAATTGAATGATTTTGTCAAACTAATTAACAGTTATTCAGATATCGTGAGATGATAACTATCGATTAACGGTCACTAATCTCTACCTACTAATTAACCCTGCTTTTTGAACAAGAAAAGTGAAAATTGCGTAAATTAGTGGATGTTTTGCACAATACAATGCACAAAGTTTACAAAAATAATTCTTTTAAATATCTAAATAGATTTTATTGTTGTAATAATGTTTAATGAGCATAAATTACATGTATATTTTGTTATTATAATGTTTATATGGTATAATTTTTGTTTTAATACTATAATAGATTCTGGAAGTATGAAAAGAGGATTTAAATATTTTAAATTATTGGTTAAAATTCTTCGACGGTTGTTTTGGGTGTGGTTGTAGTCGAAAGAGTCGCATTGGTTGATTCAGTCGAATTTGGCCTGAGTGTCACGTTGACCGGAGTTGTCATTGCAGAAGTTGCGACGGTGGTCAACGTTGTAGAGTTGATTTTACCGGCTTCGGGTTTGGGCGAGGTGATGTCAACGATCTGCCCGGGTTTTCCAGGATACGGGAAAGGCCTGTGTGAAGGTGGCCCGTAAGACGAGCTGAGAGGGGCGTAACCCGGGACGCCGAGGCTGGGACGGAAATCGCCATGAACAGGCTCGGAGAGGCGGAAGAAGTCGGCCGAACCTTCGAACGGCGGTTCCATACCGACGATGCCGAAATTGTCGAAGGTGGGCGAACGTTTCGGCAAGGACTTGACTCTGACGAAGAAGGAACCCTTGACATGCGACCTGACGATCCCCATGTTCGATTCGGTCACAACGGACACTTCGTCTTTATCCGAGCACAATCTGAAACACCGTTTGAGTTTTAGAAAAATTACAAAGAAAAAAGCAACAATTTCAGATAACATAACGAGAAAAGGGGGTTAATGTGAGTGGGATTCAAAATTGGTGCTTTCCCTTCAACAGCTGAACAGATTTGATGGTGGAACTAGAAGTCGAATCTTACTAAAAATATTGCTACAATTGGTAATAAGTTAAGAACCCAGGGGTAAAATTGATAATAAATGGTGCTTTGACCTTCTAAATCACATTTCCATATTTAATTATTCAGAAATCGTGAGATGCGGTCTGGTGTGATATAGGTTTCAGAAAAACATTTTCTTTAATGTGCCAACGTTTTGATCTTTATTGAGATCATCTTCAGGGCCTGGGATTTACAAACATTGTTTACATTTAACAAATACATGTAGGATGTGGAAAAAAGTGAATTTATACAATGCAAAATATATTTTTTATTACAATTAATAAGGTTTTTAGATGAGATAAAAAAGCCAATGGCACGAGCGGGATTCGAACCCACGATCATCGGCTAAATACGCCGCTGCTCTACCACTTGAGCTATCGTGACCTCGATCCACTCGGACACTAACTTCCCGTAATAACAAGAACAAAACAACAACAACAACAAGCATTAATAATAATTCACTAGTTTTCGTGGTCCGCTTGACCAAATAATATCTTTCAATTAATTAATCTATATTTAAGGTATTGGTTGAGATTAAAAAAAAAATGGGAAAATGGCAAAAACGAGGGAAAATTCAAAAGGTGGGGTTGAGATGGGAAGTCAGTGTCCGAGTGGATCGAGGTCACGATAGCTCAAGTGGTTAGAGCAGCGGCGTATCTAGCCGAAGATCGTGGGTTCGAATCCCGCCCGTGCCATTGACTTTTTTATCTGAACTAAAAACCTTAATTAATTGTAATAAAAAATATATTTTGCATTGTATAAATTCACTTTTTTCCACATCCTACATGTATTTGTTAAATATAAACAATGTTGGTAAATCCCAGGCCCTGAAGATGATCTCAATAAAGATCGAAACGTTGGCACATTAAAGAAAATGTTTTTCTGAAACCTACATCACACCAGACTGCATCTCACGATTTCTGAATAATTATCGATTAACTGTCACTAACCACCACACATTTCCATATTTACTTATTGAATTAAAAGAAAATGGGAAGACTAGTATAAGTTTCAAGCTTGACATGTCCTCAAAATATTGCAAAAATTGTTGAAAGAAATCGCACCTGGGTCTAAACTAATAAATTGCAAACTCGTCATTGGAAATTAAAGNTGTTTGGGCCTTCCGAATGAAATGTCCTCAATAAGTTGCAAACTAATCACTGTAAATTTACAAAAGTTGGCAAACCTGGGGAATTTTTGAGCTTTGACTCGTCATTAAAATATTGTCAAAATTGATAAAGGAAATCGACCACGACGCCTAAAGTTTTAATGCTTGGTGTTTGTACTCTCCGAATTCAATTTACTTTATTAATTGCTATTTCATTGTGGCTATGATCCTCCTTCAGTCCTACTCTTTATTTGTCAGTTTGCTTCTTTCAGTGTTCTTTATTAGAGATGTTCTTCAAATAGCTCTAAAGATCCAATTCATTGGATGGAAAAAGGAAATGGAATCATCAATGAGAAAACCTTGTCCACTTTTGGTAGAAGGCCCTTGATTATTAACAAAATATTGCCACTAAAGTTTATTTATTGTTACTATTACTTTGTTATCTTATTATTAGAAGGAAACAAAACTTTGCATAATTATTGATTTTATGCCAGTTTTGCACAAAATTTGTGATGGATTCCGTTTTGATGATGAGATGCATTAATGGGGCCCTTGCAAATTGAATTTCCTTAATACCTCGCGCACTTAAAGGTCTCTTCAAACTTTATTACCTTAATATCCTGATTATTGATCAATGTAATGAAACTTGGCATAATTATCGATGGTACGGTTATTAACCGTCGAAATTATTCAATTTTTTACCAAAGTAGGCTATTATGTTATTGAGAGTAAAATCGTATGGAACGTTTCAGTTGGAACGGAAAATATTTCTTAAAACTTACCTTTCTCCCATTTCGACGAATCCGCTAATCCTGAGATCGAACACCATTATCCTTGTTTTATTTCCGCAAGGGTTGCCTGATATGTAATTGCCTTCGGTCAGGCTATGGACCTTCATGTCGAGCCGTGTGCCGGACCGACCTTCGAAGAGGAACGTGCAATCGTCTGCAAAATAATTAAATTACGACGTGAAAAGTACTCGGGACGTAAGAAACACGTACTAGTCTTAGAGCTGACGAAGACGAAGTTGACCTCCTCGCCTTCTTCTATGTGGTTGACAGAATTGCACGACAGCTGGCGTAAATCTCGCCCAAGGGCAAAGGCAAGGAGCAGCAGTACATTTAAGCTCAGTAAAAACACTGAAAACACAAAAGAACACCGACATAAGTTAAAATACGTATAATTTTTGCTGTCCGAATCAAGCCACGGCGACGACGGGTGGTATAGTGCGGTTGAGACTCGAGACCCCGAAACGGCTCACCTCGTGTTCTCTTCCGCGGCCCTGTTTCTCAATCCGAATTCCTTCNCCGAATAGGCCAGGTGCGGACGTTAAAGATCCTCTTGTCTTGTTGACGATGAGTAAATCGGGAACGCATGTCCGAATCAAGCATCACAATTTAATAAAGTAACATTACTAGACGTAAATGTCTAGTGACTGGGGGTTTTGGTAGGCCTGACAAGGGCCGGTGTTGTTGAATATTGCCGATGGTTGAGGCCGGGACCATAGTCAGACCTAGTAAGTCGGTAGACTCGGCATCGGAAGAAGTGACTCGGGCAGCAGGTGGCCGTTGAGAAGGCTAGAGCGAGACTGATGCTGCGAGTGCCCTTGCTGTTGAGCTGGTGAAGTCGATTTGTCTAGGTAGATACTTGACAGTGAGAGCTCGTCGAGTAGAGGGCAGTGCCTCCGCTTATGTAGTGGAGAGCCAGGCCATTCCTATAATGGTGGTGACACCTAGTGAGTACCGTGGTAAATGCAGATGGTTACCTCAGAATTATCCATCTTATCCAATATCTACAAACCCCTCGAGAGGTTAATCGAAGCCCAGTATTTTTAATATCCTCCAATCGGGCTTCCGCCAAGGTCCACGCAGTCCGCCCTCACCGAAATCATTAGTGATCTCCACACCGCAATGCACAAACGGAAAGTTACTATCTTAATCCTCCTTTACTTTTCCAAAGCCTTCGCTTCCATCGGCTACTCTAATCCCATTCCTTCTCCAATAGTATTCTCGGTTGGTTCCACTCGTACATCACCAATCGTCTCCAAGCCGTCACTATTCCCAACGGAAATCCTCCTTCCCCCTCATTAAAATCTAGCGTTTTCCAAGGCTCTAGGATCTTTCCTATCCTTTTTAGTTTTTAGTACATTAACGACCTCTCCGACTCCATCCAGTACTGTAATTACCACCTATATGCAGACGACTCCCAAATTTACCTTCCGTCCATCTTTCAGAACTACAATTGGCCATCCTTAGGATCCAGAACGGCCTTGATTCCATTAATGAATGTGCCCATAAAAATCTTCTCCTCTTCAATCCGTCTAAATCCTCGGCCATAATCATCAGATCCAGACTTCTTCTCAAATCCCTCACTCATAAACCGCACCATCATGCCTTTTATCGTAGGAAGTCAAATCTCTGATCTATGCCCGGTGAATCCGTTCTTTTAAATTTTATCGGCCTATAATATTCTATGAAAAATGGCAAAAAGAAGGTTTTCTTAAATAAATTCGTCATCGACATTGTACAATCCTAGAAATGATAAATGGTGGAGCGAGTATGTTGTTCAATCTTTTTAAAAAAATAGTTCCTACTCATAGTTAGTTGTTGTTATGTTAGTTGTTTTCAACGATCCGGATTTCGTCAGACCATTGGTGGTATTAAAACACCATAAAACATACCAAACCGTAAATCCTCAATAAAAAAATAAACTATTTTCTTTAAACAATGAGTGGATCTAAGATATTTTAAAGGAACTTAAATACATTTTTTTCACTATTTTCTGTCTTTGTTATTGCAAGTATTTAAAGGTTATTATATATCAGTGTTCGGTTTTCGGTTATTTTAAATAGTATAAAAAAATAATATGCAGGATTTGCATTAAATTAAAATATTAAAAATAACACATATTAAAAAAACACAAAAACCTAAAAGTGCGATCAGTAAAGTAGGCCCGAAAATTTTTATTCAAAAAACCAAACCAAAAAAAACAATTCGGATTCATTTTGAGCACTCTAAAAAAACTACTAAATACAAATTTTTGTAACAAACAAAAAATAAACATTTTTGGACTTGGGGGCAAATTTTCCTTTTCTCCGTTGTGCTGTGTTCCACTGAAAAGTTCATAAATCTCCTGGATTTTATTCAAATTTAAGTTTATTACTATCATTGGAAAGCTGAATGTTTTTTCTTTTAACTTGTTTAAACAACATTTGTTTTATTTCATTATAATTTATAAAAATAAGGATGAAAACAATGATGCTTTTTTTTAACATTGTATGTTTTATCTCTGGTCGTATTTTATTTATTTATTTATATATACGTACGGACCAAAGATCCAGTTACAAAGAATATAAATCACGGGATTATAAACAATTTAAATAGTAGACAATCAAAATTTATAAATAACAAGAACAAAACAACAACAAGCATTATAGTGTACAGGGGGCGTCGGCGTCCGCAACGGTTTAGGCGTAGACCCGGCGCTCATCACTGTAAGGTAAAGGTCCCGGGTTCGAATACCGCGGCCCTGCAGTCGAACCCGACATACTTACAAATGGGCTTTTTATCAAAAACATCGGCGAGGGTTGATATGACCTGTTGCGAACCCTCGTAAAAAGAAATAATAATAATATACAATAAACTATAGTTATATATTTTATTTTAAAATATAGAATATTTTATATAACTGTAGAACTCCTTCAACCTGATGATGAGCGTATAAGCTCGAAATCCGGACGTTGAAAACATTAACTGTGAATAGGAACTATCTTTTCAAAAAGATTGTACAATCCTATCCTCGAATATTCGACTGTTGTATGGAATCCACAATTTTCTTTTGGAATTCTTGGTAAAATTGTTAGAATCCTTTCCTCTCCTTTCATCCTCAGAACTGTCTTTTTCTCTTTATAATCTTCCAGCACTAGCTGACAGAAGGTTTTGTTAAAATTAAAAAAAAAATCACAATACAATAAATGGGCGACAACAAAACAACAACAAGCATTAATAATAACAATAATTCACTATTTTTCGTGGTCCGCTTGACCAAATAATATCTTTCAATTAATTAATCTATATTTAAGGTATCGGTTGAGATTTAAAAAAAAAAAAAAATATATATATATATATGGACAAATGGCAAAAAGGAGTGGAAAAAAAAGATGAGGTTGAGATGGGAAGTTGGTGTCGGAGTGGATCGAGGTCACGATAGCTCAAGTGGTATAGCAGCGTCGTATTTAGCCGAAGGTCGTGGGTTCGAATCCTGCTCGTGACACTGACTTTTTTATCTTAACCAATACCTTAAATATAGATTAATTAATTGAAAAATAATAATATACAATAAACTATATTTATATAGCCTATTTAAAAATATATAATATTTTATATAACAGATTAGAAAAATTAGAATTACGAGACCTCCTAGGAGGCCTCTGTCCTCTCCCTGATAAATCAGGGGGAGTCACCCACCTTGATGCCTGAGCGACTCCGAGGTTGGGCTTCTTTGGTCATTTCGGTGCCCTTACGTTACCTAAAACTAGTCATTCTCACACTCACTCATACAATAAATACATACATACTCCTATATACAAACCCAATCACACATGCATATCCTCTGCCTTGAATCCGGGTCGGAGGGTGCTCGATATCCCGACCAGGCTTAGCGGAGCAGCGGTAGAGCCTTGAAATATTATGCTGCACCGCCGCCCAGCATACTCCTATTCTAACATAAACTAAATCTAAACTTTAACCTATGAAATAAATACCCCACTGTATACAACCCATAATCCCAATATCTCTTAGAAACCTAAAAAGTTTTTCCTTAAACTCGCTGCCATGCTAGAGCAATCTCCTATAATCCGGCGGCATTCCATTTCGGTCCCTATACGGGGCCAAGCTGCGACAACCCTCCAACACGTGCGTCTGTCAACTTGGCATGTTGGGCACCTAGGTCGACTCACGCCAACCAACAGATACCCATGAGTCGCACGTGTGTGGCCGATTCGCAGGCGGGTCAGGACAACGCTTTCCCTTCGAGATATCCCCTTATATAACAGATAAATTATATTTTATATAATACAACCATATTTGTTTCTAAACAATCTATAAAATTATTGCCTTTAATATACGTTTAAATGCATTAAAATTTATATGAAAAAAATCAATATTTGGACGTATCTTATTTAGTCGATAGTTAGTAGTATCTTAGTAGTAGTTATTGGTGAATAAAATATATAATTTGTTTTACAAAAGGGTACGCTAAACATAGATGAAAGCCTGATATAATTTATTTGAACATTGAAAGTGATACATGAAATGAGGTCAGTACAATTTAGTCGCCCATTTATTGTATTGTGAGGATTTTTTTTTTAAATTTTAACAAAACCTTCTGTCAGCTAGTGCTGGAAGATTATAAAGAGAAAAAGACAGTTCTGAGGATGAAAGGAGAGGAAAGGATTCTAACAATTTTACCTAAGAATTCCAAAAGAAAATTGTGGATTCCATACAACAGTCGAATATTCGAGGATAGGATTGTACAATCTTTTTGAAAAGATAGTTCCTATTCACAGTTAATGTTTTCAACGTCCGGATTTCGAGCTTATACGCTCATCATCAGGTTGAAGGAGTTCTACAGTTATATAAAATATTCTATATATAATAACTATAGTTTATTGTATATTATTATTATTTCTTTTTATGAGGGTTCGCAACAGTTCATATCAACCCTCGCCGATATTTTTGATAAAAAGCCCATTTGTAAATGTCGGGTTCGAATGCAGGGCCGCAGTATTCGAACCCGGGACCTTTACCTTACAGTGATGAGCGCCGGGTCTACGCCTAAACCGTTGCGGACGCCGACGCCCCCTGTATACTATTATTATTAATGCTTGTTGTTGTTTTGTTCTTGTTATTTTATAAATTTTGTTTATCTACTATTTAAATTGTTTATAATCCCGTGATTTATATTTTTTGTAAAAGGATGTTTGGTTCGTATTTATGTATAAAATAAATAAATTAATTAATACCGGAGATAAAAAATACAATGTTAAAAAAAAGCATCATTTTTTTTCATCCTTATTTTTATAAATGATAATGAAATAAAATAAATATTGTTTAAACAAGTTAAAAGAAAAAACATTCAGTTTTCCAATGATTGTAATAAACTTAAATTTGAATAAAATCCAGAAGATTTATGAATTTTTCAGTGGAACACAGCACGACGGAGAAAAGGAAAATTTGCCCCCAGGTTAATCAAGTCCAAAAATGTTTATTTTTTGTTTGTTACTAAAATTTGTATTTAGTAGTTTTTTAGAGTGCTCAAAACGAATCCGATTTTTTTAAATTAAATTTTTCTGGCCTACTTTACTGATAACACTTTTTGTATTTTTTTATATGTCTAGTATCATTTAATACAATCCTGCATATTATTTGTTATACTTAAAAAACAAAAAATCTAATACGCTGATATAAACAATCTTGAAATACATGCATAACAAAGACAGAAAATAATACTGAAAAAAAATGTATTTAAATTTCTTTAAAATAGCCTAGATCACTCATTGTTTAAAGAAAATAGTTGATATTTTTATTGAGGATTTATGCTTTGGTATGTTTTATGGTCTTTTAGTACCACCAATGATCTAAATAAAGATCAAATGAAATAATTTTGGACTTACTCCTGACTTTGTCACCTTAGCTGGAGAGCTCCTGGAATGGGACTGACGCGGTTTTCCATCGGTGGATTTCCATTTCACCGTGTGATGATGATGCGGGCTGCTTTCTCTTAATTTTTATCATCCCCATTTACCTAATTACCCGTACGGCGAGGTGTCAAAAAAAGGGGAAAAATTTACGTAATTGGAAATATGACACTGTTTTTTTTTTGTCCCCGACAATGATGATCCATCAAATGTCAAATAATGGATGAAAATCGTGCTTAATTTGAAAGCCGTATCGTAGGTTTTTCCTCATTTAAGCACGCAGCGAAACAGTTAGGACCGGTGTTCAGATAACGTAATGTTTCATTTAATTTTATGCAAAAAAAAAAAAAAATACACAAAGCACGGAGCAAGATGCAATTTCAACGACAAAGTTAAACTTTCTCACTTCCATTCTAAATTGTACATACTTTAAAAACCTTCAATACTAGAGCTTATTAGAGAAGCAAATTTAAGTATTTTTTATTATAAAAAATTTACGTAATTCAGATTGTTAGCGAAAAACAACATTTTTTCTAAAAAAACAACAAAACTAGTTAAAAAAAATTAAATTCACCGAATGAACTACCCTCTTTATTTTGTGATTTAAACTATTATTTTTTAACCAATTTTCGCCCATTTGTAGCGAAATTGAACGTTGTTAGGCCTTTAAGCAGGGCGAGGCGGAGTTTCCTATTTACAAAAATGTCCGTAAGCGCTGCTAATCCTATCGGCTTGTATTGTTCAAATACAGTTAAATCAATTAAAATTTTATTTTTGTACCACTATAACCTATATTGGGCTCTCTCAACACGACACGCAAGAATGGCACAATTACGCAGAAAACAAACACTGAGCCCTGAAGATGATCTCACTAAAGAGTGAAACGTTGGAACGATAAAGAAAACGTTTTTCTGAAACCTACGTCACACCAGACCGCATCTCACGATATCTGAATAATAACCTATATTGTTTATTCATTCTTACTGAAATGAAGCATGTCAAGGTTATAAGCAGGGTAAGGCAAGGCCTTTCAGCGAATATTATATTTATATAAAATAGAAACATTTTATGCATAAAAATACACTTTTGCTTTAATGATGATTGAGTTCGATTATAACAAAATTATCAAACAGATAGCAATGTGCTTCATCCTGCTTATAACCCTGACTACCTTCCGACAATTGATTATATGCCATTTTTTCACCAAAAATATAAAATTGCAAATATAAGACATTATTTTCCCTTATTCACTTATGAAGTGTCGGTCAGTTATCGATCTATATATGTGAGCAGGATATATGAGCAACATCAGGGTATAAGCAGGGTGAGACTAAATCTGCCTTGATTCACTTTGCATATAACCTTGACGTACATCTACCGACTACAGATCCATAAATTTCCCTTTTTACCTAGAAATAGAAACTTTATTTAAGTCATATTTCAGTTACCAAATGGAATGGAGAAACGTTAGGGTTATAAGCAGGGTGAGGCAAGATGATCTTTCCCTGAAAATTTAAACCTATTTTAAAAATGAAAATAAAAATAAATGAATTTGATGAAACAAAATGTAAAACATTATTTTTCGGTTATCGATAGTCGGATTGGGCACTGTCAGGTCCATAAGCAGGGAGAAGCAAGATGTTGGTCTGCTAATTTGAATTTATTTGAAAAATTCCATAAAACAATTAAAATCGGCGAAAGAAAACGAAACATATTTCCCCCTATATGCCAGTTACGAATAGGTCAGAGTAAGCAACGTCAGGGTCATAAGTAGGGTGAGGCAAGATGCTCTTTGCCTGCGAATTTTAATCTATTTGATTATTATATTAAATCCAATATAAATATAGATATTGAAAGAAAAATAAAAACAAATGAAAGAAAATGTAAAACATTATCTTTTCTTATTTTTCAGTTGTCGATAGTCGGATGTAGCAACTTCAGGTCCATAAGCAGGGTGAGGCAAGATGCTGTTTGTCCGGTAATTTAAATTTAATTGAAAAATTATCGTAAAACAAAAAGATTTAACGAAAGAAAATGAAAAAATATATTTTCTCCATATTTCAATTATCAATTGTCGGATGGAGCAACTTCAGGTCCATAAGCAGGGTGAGGCAAGATGTTGTTTGTCCAGTAATTTAAATTTAATTGAAAAATTATCGTAAAGCAAAAAGATTTAACGAAAGAAAATGTAAAAATATATTTTCCCCTATATGTCAGTTATCAATTGTCGGATGGAGCAACTTCAGGTCCATAAGCAGGGTGAGGCAAGATGTTGTTTGTCCAGTAATTTAAATTTAATTGAAAAATTATCGTAAAGCAAAAAGATTTAACGAAAGAAAATGTAAAAATATATTTTCCCCTATATGTCAGTTATCAATTGTCGGATGGAGCAACGTAAGGGCCATAAGCAGGGTGAGGCAAGATTTAAAGTTTAATTTTAAATTCTAGGCAGTTAGAACAAAATTTGGCCAAAGTGCATTTCAGTTATCAAACGATAACGAAGCAACGTCAAGGAAATAAGCAGGCCGAGTCCAATTGAACTGTTTAACTCAGATTTTTCTATTGTTTTGAAATTAACATAAATTAGACAAGCAAGACATTAGGCATCTGAGACATGTTGAAATTTACGTATAGTAATAGGAATTTTAGGATTAGTCAATGTCAACTGTGATTCAATCGTACAAACCAAAAATAATCCAAATAGTGATTAATATTTGCCTAAATGTCATAAAGCAATTGAACTGTTCGAAGTCACTTTATAAAAACAATTCTAATAAACGTTCATATTCAAAGAAATTTTATTTTTTGTTTTTGAAGGGATTTATAGGTCTGGTAGCCAATAACCTGGCTTCACTTTTGATTAATAATTTAATTAAGAATGTATGTCAAAAACGTAATAAAACTTTCTTGTTATTTTTACATTAGCCTTTATAAAAATTGAGAGTGAAGGAGGGAAATGAGTTAGGCTCACGAACCCCTGGAAAAGAATCATCGCCGTGAATTTATGAATGTAAATTTATAAGATCGGCTTGTCCCAAATGAAAGTTTGAAAAAAAGGTTCCAGGTGAATTCCGATCCGAGGGTACAGCAGTATCTTTCCAAGGTGATTTATTATTTTCCCGAGGGCCAAGTTCAAATCTCAGAAGACCCAGGGGGTGTTAACTCAGCGACGAAATGTTCTTCCTTCTTAGAAGTCGAGTTTAAAAGTTTTTTTGTTGTTGTGTTTTGTGTTTTATTTTTGACTAAAAGTGAAAATTGAGAAAATCTTCTTTCTATTGACCTTTAAAGAGTCGCTTTTTTCACCCTTTTGCCCATTGTTTTTCTTTTTCTGTGTATTTTTCTTTTCTTCTTCGATATTTTCTTCACATCGCCGAAGGAAAATGTCGCTGTTTATGAATACTTTGTGATCTTCCCAGACACGGTGTGATCACCGTGGAAAATTAGACGGAAAACTGGCGGGGCCTTGAGATCCGATGGAATTGTGGCCTGCGCCGGTTTGAATAGGGCCAATTTTCAAAGCGGTTCAGCCCGGTGATCAACGGAATGAATGAGCAGGACGTTAATCCATGTCATTGCGAAACGGCTGAGTTGCAATTATCACAAAAACCCGAAATGGACAAAAACAAAAACACGGAGAATTGCGCTTTTCTGTCGTGAAGGGTTTTCCAAAAGAAGATTGAAAAATTCCACCTGCCAAAAAATAATTCCCCTTCCCAAAACTGAAAAAGTCAAGGGATCTCGAACAAACATGGAATTTCAAGTTATATGCAAATGCCAGGCCATTATGAGAGAGAGGGGAGCTTTTCCGGAGAATATAAACGCTGTTCCTTAATACAAAATGTACTATACATACAAAAGCCTGCCTAAAACAAAAACCAAAGAAACACAGTAGAAGACAAAACGAAAAATACTTAAAATTTTGATTTTAGCAAAAATAAAAATAAATAAATAAAACAATGGAGACCCCTCAATACTTAAAATTTTGATTTTAGCAAAAATAAAAATAAATAAATAAAACAATGGAGACTCCTTCAATTTATACATTATGGTAATACATTTTGAACATTTAATTTTTTTTTCTTTTTAAAGCCAACTTGCAAGTATGTCTGTTTCGAATGCAGGGCCGCTGGATTCGAACCCGGGACCTTCATCTTACAGTGATGAGCGCCGTATCAACGCCTAAACCGTTGCGGCCACCGACACCCCTTTAATTGTTCTTAATTTTTGTTTTTTATTAAGTGAATTAATTTTAATTATTTACGGAATAAAAAAATTAATACAATTTTAATTTTAAATGATAAAATAAACGAAATTATTAAATAAATTTATTTATTTAATTTTTATTTATTATTATTAAATGAAAGTGAATATTTTGAATATTTACTTTTCTTTTTGAAGTTTTTCATCATAAAGAATAAAAAAATTAATAAACAAAATTATTTATTTAATTTAATCTTTAATTATTAAATTATTGTAGGTGAACATTTTGGACATTCCATTTACCTTTTGAAGTTTTTGATTTTATTGATAAAGAATAAAAAAATGTATAAATAAAACTATTTAATTAATTTTAATTTTTAATTATTAAATAAATTATTGTAGGTGAATATTTTGAACATTTCACTTACTTTTTGAAGTTTTTGATATTTATTAATAAACAATAAAAAAATTAATAAATAAAATCATTCATATAATTTTAATTTTTAATTATTCAAATTATTCAATGAATGAAGGTGAACATTTTGAACTTTTAATTTACTTTTTGAAGTTTTTGATATTTATTAATAAACAATACAAAATTAATAAATGTAATTATTTGAGGTTTTGGTTTTGTCCTTTGTTTACCTTTGTACCAAAGAGTCTTTTTTATTTTCGTAATGAAAAAACTGAAATTTCAAAAAGCAAGTTAAACGGTATGTAAGATGGTGGAAATTGGGAACATTTAAATTACTTTTTGAAGTTTTTTTTTATTAAGTAAATAAAAAGACTTTAGTACAAAATTACACAGGGGAAAAAATAAAAAGCTTTACAGCAGTAAAATTTCTCTTGCAAGACTTGCATTCCTTTAGAAGGTGGACGTTT